CTGTCAAAAGCAAGTCTGGGAGGCCTGGGGCCATTTGCAGGCCTCTCCTTGCCCCTCAGGCAACACACTTGCTGCCACCCGCTGGGATACTGGTTGCAGCAGCAAAAGGCATGACTGGTCAATAGCAAAGAGCTGCAGAATGCCACACTTCGCTTGAAAAGAAGCCGGATTTGGCGCTTGAGGCATTTGATTGGGAGGTGGATTGACTCCATTAGGGAAGCCACAGACATGAATTTGGAAGAGCTGAGCAGGGCTGCCATGGACAGGACATTCTGGAGGGCTTTACTTCACAGGGTTGCCATAAGTCGGAGGTAACTTGACGGCACATAGCGACAGCAACATTTGGGCTGGCACGTCAGCCATTTCGCAGCACCACGAGGGCAGAGGGCTGCATAGGTCGCACAGAGGGGGATGTGTGAGGCAGCCGGGCCCGATCAGAACGAGCAGGTGAGGCAGCTATTACATTGCAGAGGCAGCAGCTGATTTCCACATACCAGCATTTGACTTTTATAATCCATACAATTTATATACTTTTCTCATGTGTGTTTATTGCCTCATGCAGTCTTTTGAACTCTTGTACTTTGTTTTACATTGTATTTTATTGTATTTTGTATATTGCACTAAGGTATTTTGTAAACTTCCCTGAAAATAATAATTTATTGATGAAATAATAATTCAAATATTGCTTCAGTTATCATTTCATTCGGTAATGAAAATTATATTATATACCTTCAAGCTGCAAATATGTACAGGGGCCCTTTCATGCCACTCACCAGTATTCAGAGGCAAAACCATAGGAAACTGGCACATACTAAGTCAAGCCACAGGTCTGCCTAGCTCAGTATTGCCTTACACTGCATGGCTTTCCAGGGTTTCATGCTGGAGTCTTTTCAAGGACTGAACCCAAAGCAGGTTTTGGGGCATGGCACACAGGTCCCTTCCTGACATGAAATGGATATAATGGCCACAACTCAATCAGACCTGCACTTTTTTTCCCAGAAGCTTATTCATTCATTCAAACCATTCCATTCCCACCACCCCCACCAGAAGCAGCATTAATGGGGGGGGGGGGGTGCTATAGCAACATGCAACAAATACAAGGAATGCTGCAACACCGAAGATAATATCTGATTTATTCTAATTCCATGGTGGGAAAAAAGAAAAGAAATCACAACTGTTCCGAAGAATACATTGTTTCGGTCAATGAGCAGGTATCTTTGAAAGACATATCGCACATGTTTGGGACCTGCTTCCTCACCAGTGAAAATCAGGAGCAACTCCTCCAAAGTGTTCACTTAGAGACTAAGAGTTGTGTGACCCTGTGCAGGGCTGTGTGTGCATCGTGTGTGGCTGGCAGAGCATATTAAACAGGATTTTTATCAACAGAAACGGATAAGAAATGTGACACGGTAGTGACTCATCCACCAAAATACATAATGGAGAGCTCTGTCCATTATGGGGAGAATCTGTTAACATAATTACACAGACAAACAGAGGAGTAAAGGTTTGCTGTGCCAAAAAGTCTTGCCACAATTAAGGTGATGGAGTTGTTATTCCATCCTGGAGAACCAAATGTTAGTCACAGAGGTTCTTTGGTGGAGGAAGCCTGAGTTTTGCAAGCTGTTTTGCATGGAAGCAACATCTGAACACCCACCTACATGTTTCTTTTTAAAAACTGTAAGGAGACTTGGCAAGTGGTTGCTTGCAGACATATGGCTTGAGAGAGAGACACTTTCTTGGGGTGGGGTGCCTCCCATACATCTTGCTCTGTATTTATAAACCGCCTAAAGAATAGACTAAGAAAAGCCAAGGTTGAAATGACAGTGCATTTTCATTTCAAAACATACAGAGATGGTTATGTGCGAGACTTTCATGTTGACCAGACCATCCGTTTCAAAGTCAAAGCACAGCACAGAACATGCATATATTGTGCACTGTAGCTAAGGTATGGCGACGGCTTTTTTGCTCCTTATGTGCTCCTCTAGGTTCCAAATCTACCCTCCAGCATTCCCCACACTGCCACATCTTGTCCTCTTTCCTTGCTCCACCCAACAACTGCTTCCCCAGGTTTTGTGCAGTCCCGTCCCCGCCGCCATTTTAAAGAGCTGAGATGCCTCTGAAGGCTTAGCAAAAGCTTTAAGCTGCAATATGTTGCTAATTTTGCACAAACACTGAGCAATCAAGCTCTGTTTGTGGTTATAGTAAAACTCTGTTTTAGAAACTGCTTGTGTTGCCATTTTTGTCCCTGGATGCTGTCCTCACTCCCCATAGCCTGGCCTGATCCGCCTGCGAAACCAGAGCATCTGTACATCAGCCTGATCCACAGCACACTTAGCGCAGCTTTACCTTTACCTTTTCTCCTGGAATAGTTAACAAAGCAGGCTCTTCTTTTGCCCTTGCATAGCCTCCTCTTCAAACACCTCACAGCAATTTAACACAACTTTGTATACAGACAGCCCGCATGTGCAACACACCTTCCAGGGATCCAGATGACCATTGGATTTCTCCCTTGTCTTTCCCCAACTCCAGCTCCCATGTTAGGTCTTGTGGTTTATTTTCATGCTGTAGAAAGCACACAATGGTTGCACTATGGCATATAAGTCATACTTGAATGCTTGTCCATCTAGACTGGTGAAAGCTACGATTTATGTGTAAGGCAAGTTCCCGGTCTTCTCTTTCATGCAGCCACCTTTCTGCTGGTCTGAATGTGGATATTTAACCATTAGATTAAGGGAGGCCTGACAATTTGTATCTAAGTCCTGTCTGTAATAGGATTTTCTGCAGACCTTGGCATCTATAGGCTAGTATCTTTATGCCTGAGCTTTCCATCTGTAACCTGGCAATGAAAGCATATGTAGGCACATCAGTGCAAACTCATTGTCTGACAGTGAATGTGGATACCATCAGCATTGCCTTTAATAACTGCCCTCTATGCAAAAATGTCTATCAGCTTGTGTCCAATATAGAAACAGAAACAGAGCGAGTCAGAAGGGGCCTCCTGGTCCATCTACTGTGACCCCTGGCTCCAGCTGGCTCTGCTCACGAGATGCCTACCATGCAGGAACATACAAAGCTGCCTTTCTACCGAGCTGCCTTTCTATTTAGTCCAGTACTACCCACTAAGACTGGTAGGTGTTCTTCAAGTCCAAAGGCAAATAACTTTCCCAAGTCTACAGCCTGATATTCTTCTAACGATGGAGGCTTCAGGGCATGGATCTCAAATCTGAAGCATATAAAACAAGTTGTGTTTCCAAGCTATAGTCCCCTCCTGTGAGAGATCCTCCAAGATGGGGAGAAGACAATTTGTGGTCCCCCAGACATTTTAGCCTACAACTCCCAGCACCCCTCACCATTGCCTATACTGCCCAGTGCTGATGGGAGCAAAAGGCTAAAATATCTGGAGGGTCATATGTTGTCCACCACCATAGTACATGACATGTGTACATGGTATAATAATAGATGATGATGTAAAATTCTCATTAGACGAGTCTCAGTTATACAAAAACATGCACTAAATTCTTGCTGATTAGTCTGTAAACAAATAAAGCACTAGCTTATTAGAATGTTTGTTAACCAACTATTGCAGGTGATTCTACAAGCCATTCCTTAAATGGGGCTGGATTTTAAGCAGATTTCGTACAGGAAATGCAACCAAATACAAATTACAATTGACACATCACTTTTGGGAAAATGTCTGCTTTTATTGCAGCTGCTGTTTATTACACAAAGAGCCTCCTTTCCTGGGGGAGCCTAAGTGGTTTAGGACAGAATCCTTTGGCCTGTTGACATTGCCCACTGTGGGGCGCAAGAGAGTATTCAGAGTCAAGTTCCTGTGATCACGGAGCCGGGACCTGGAAGGCCAAGCCCCACCCTGCCTCTCTCACCATGCATGCAGGAAGAACCACATTTGCTCCCTCCCATGAAGTTGCAAATATACCTTAGAGGGGAGAAAAGGGACATGCCAGGGGCTGGGAGCAGAGAAACTGGGGCAGAGGACTTATCTTGGTGCTTCAGCCTCCTTGCCTCCCTCTCTCTGGTGCTTCCTCTAGATGCAGGGAGGCACCTGCCTAGATAAAAATGAGAATACACAGCAGAGGCTGAAATTGCCGCATGTCTTTTAGGGCACAGGCTGCACCTGAGCCTCTGAGTTTGGAAGCTCATGTGCATCAGGGGTGGGGGCAATAGTTATCATTCCCATATAATCTTATCTCTTATCCAGGCAGTGTTCAGTGCTCAACCTGGCAGTATGGTTAAATGCTTTTAGATTTTCAACATAATGGCCTTATTATGGATCCTTCCTCTTTAGAGGGCCATGTATTACTGTACTTCTTCAAAATGTGGTGAGCCATTCCAGCTGCGTTAAAGGGACATCCTGTTGAGGGGGGTGCTGAGCATCTGCCCCAAGGTCCTGTCTGGCTGGTGTCACAGGTCAGACGGCTTAGCTTTGGCAGCAGGACTGCTTCAGGCCCCTTCAGACCATATAGGCAGCCCCTTGAAAATGTCCGGTTGTTAAGGATTTGGCAGCTAGAACCTGCTAGGCCAAATCTAGTCCTCTGTAGCAGCATCTGCCCCTCAGTCACCAACCCAGACCCAGTGTAAGAACAGCATCGTGGTGTTGGGGCTGAAGAGTAGCATGTGATGGGGCCTGTCACTTCCCATTTCCTTCTCAAAAGTGTTTTAGTGACAGGTAGCTGCATATCGGAGATGGTAAAATGCTTCTTTTTGGATAGCCGGCTAGCGATGTTTTGTCATTTGCTTCAGCAAGGTGACAGGAGTCATAAATTAGTCTCCCAAATGTGTATGGGAGGCTTGTCACCTACCTAGCCATAATGAGATTTATAATTGTTACTTTAATGAAAAATAGCACTACAGATAAACATTTCTGAACTTTTTTTAAAAAGTAGAACTCTCCCCTCCTGCTCTCCCCGAAAGCAACTAGAAGCAGTTAAAAAAACCTACACAAAGTCTACACAAGAGAATAATCACAGCAGCCATTGTTTGGTATAAGAATATATTATTTAAAAGATGAATTTAAAAATAAAAGAAAAAATCTTGTACAACAGCAGGGTTCCTTATCATTTACATCCAGCAGATAAATGCCGGTCTATAGAAAAGGAACTGGGGAAAGTGCTCAGTGGTTCGGCCTCATCCTTTGTCAGTGCTGTGCATTCCCGTGATGTTTAGCTGAACTTGGCAAACCTCTAAAGGGTCTTTGTGTCCATTGTAATGCTGGAATTAAAATACAAACATCATTAGACCCAGAGGATGACATTTCATCCACCCAGAATTTTTGGCAGAACTCAGATGCGCAGAAGCAGGACACCAGTTCCATGCATAGCTGCTCTGCGAATCAGTCCACACAGCGGACCAGGAAAATGGTGGGCTTAGAGTAGGTAGAAGCGTGGGTCGATGTGCTGCAGAATGGTGCCTCTTGTTACTTGGAGTACCTTCTGGTGCATCGCTAAGGCATGACAGTGGTGTCATGGGGAGCTCTTCTTGATCCACATACTATGGAGGCATGGTAGCCTATTCATCAGATCGAGCCGGGCTTTTTTCGACCTGAAAAAAGGCTCTATGGAGCCTAGAATTCTACATTGCTCACCAGCACAATTTTGCCTAATGAATGCATTAGCGATCAGGCAAGGGTAGCTCTTTAGAACCTTTTGAAAGAGGCATTTCATGTGTCTCCTGAAAAGGAATATTGGGTACAAGCTGCTCTTAATCACATTAAACTCCCCCGGAGTGCATCTTGGGCTGGATCTTGGGGCCAAATTCCAGGACCCCACAGCAACTGCGTTCCCCAAATGACCATTCAGAGAACCACATCTGATAACTGATATTTTTACTTTAAAATATGCAATCCTTTTCTATCTGAAAGAGATGTTTATTCTCAAGCAGAGAACAATCCTGTGGTCCAGAGACCATAGGATTGATTGGATTCTGCCTCCCAAAGCCACAGACCCTGCTTTGATTTGGGAGAGGAACAGCACGGTTCAATCTCTCTTTCCCTTCCCCTGGCAGGAATTACTTTCTCTACTCTTCATCATTGATTATTGATTCATTCTGTTGTTCAATACATTCAGTACACCACATGCCACAAGACACTTTTCTGTCTTTAATACTTCAGTTTTTTGACTATCAGACATCAGTTGTTCAGACTGCGTCCTATGATTCCCAATGGGAAAGACCCCCCTTTAAAAAAAGAAAGGTACCTTAACTTGATGTGCCCCCTCTTTCCTTTCCTCTTCACTTCTCCCTGCTTCCAGATGTCAAACTTTCATTCTTCTGTAACTAGTTAAGAGCAGAATGGAAAAACAGCCTCACTGACTGTTGTGTGGCTCCCCACAAGCGTGAATACTGCCGCAGACCCAGCCATGCCAAAAGTATTTGCTGTGAGCCCAGCAGATCTCCCTCTATGGCTCAGTCCATAGCAACAGTGCTTACTATTGTGCAGCCATTGTGTTTCTTTGACGGATAGAAGTACTACACCCATACTTCATGCGCCCTACTAACAGTTTCATAACCCAGTGATCTCACAATTCTGGCATCAGACATTTCCATTCCAAAAGCTACGCTCATTCCAATTAATTTTGTGATGGCTCCCTTCCACCGGCCTTGTCTGACAGCAGTTTTGTACCTGGGCTTCTTAGAGAGATGAAGATTGGAGGCCAAGTTTATGCTTCATAAGAGCATATAAATTTAAGAAGCTGTTTTTGAGGTTGGATTTGATGGAGCTGACTCATGGTCCATTTCTTCTGCAACAGCTAAATTTCCCGAGGGTGGAGGGGAAAGCTAGGGAACAAATTATTGTGCTCGTGATGAGGGGGATGATGACTGAGACTCAGTGAGGTGTTTTGCTTAAGTGTTGGACTGGAGACTCGGAGTATCTAGTGGGTTCTAGTTTCCACTTGGCTATAAAGCTCACTTTGGGCAAGTCACTCACTTTCAGCCTAATCTACCTCACAAGGTTGTTGCTGTGAGGATAAAATAGAGCCACCTTGGGTTCCTCACAAGAGGAGAAAAGGTGGAATGGAAATTGTAAAGAGTTGTAAACCGTCCCGAGTATAGAATTGTTTCACATAAATAAATAAATAAATAAATTGCAGTGCAATCTGATGTGAGTAAATGGAGGAGAGAACCAAAAGAGAAGGAACTTTATGGGTAGGTGCTCTTACTTTAGTGTAACATGAAGCAACCTTTACACACACACTGACCCAAACACCTGTGTTCTCTGGCAACACAAGACCAGAAAGGGGCAGGTGAAGTTGACAGGGTCTTTGAGAAGAAGGAGCCATCAGCAGGCTGAGCTAAAAACCCGAGAGGCAGTCTTGTACTCTCTTGCACCAGTGAAGTTATATGAAAAAGCAATTAGATAGCTGGCTAACGTTTTAATGAATCCCCACAGGTCAGACAGTGAATTCCAGTTGGTGAGCAAATGCTGGGACAGGGAGTTCCCTTGGCGGCCAGCGATCCCAGCAGATCTGTTGCTAATACAGGGACCCAGGAAACAGGAATTCTGCCGCAGAGAAGTCTGGGGTACAGGGCAGAGCCACCAGGAATGTTGAAGCGGGGGGAGTCATACTGCACTCATGAGCTCTCCTGTACCGTGGTGTGGTTATCCTCCAGGGCGTCTCCTTGTGCTCCGCAAGCATTTTAGTGGCTTTTTTTTAGAGTGAGGAAAATCTGGTATTACCTGAAAATCACACTATGACAGAATTTTGCAATTATGCTGTACTGCAGTGCGACCTTGTACTGCTTTAATGGAACATAAGGAAAGATGAGCAATCACAAATGACTTTGTAACTCCACCTGCCCCCTGGAAAAATTCCTGTGGATGCCCAGGGGCACAGTGGGAAGTCTCTGGCTTGCCTTGACAGTATGGTAACCTTCCCAATCTGGTGCCCTCCAGATGTTTTGAACTAAGACCCCAGACCAAGCTAGCTAGAGCTAATGGGAGTTGTAGTCCAACACATCTGGAGCAAGCACTAGGGCCCCTTCCTTTTTTGAGGAAGCACAGCTGAGATAAATACATTGTGTGTGTGTGTATCACAATCAGGGCACACACTAATGAATACAGTGCAGTTTCCATTGGGTGGAAAACCTGAGCTTATAGCATACACAGATGCAGTTGTGGGTGAAGTAGGACAAGCCGGAAAAGAGACGTGTGCAGGGATTTAAAACCCCCATCAGCTAGGGGCAAATGCAAAGAAGCAAAGAAACAGTGACTTCAAGGGGAAGTGGGACATCTCCTTCTGCTCCCCCACAAAAACTCAAGAGAAGGAGAAGCGGGACACAAGGGAGAGGCTGTGCTCCTGTTCACTTCTGCCTTCCAGCCAGTGAAGCCAGCAGGACCAGCAACCGCCTCCTGTTCCACCAGAAGGCAAGCGAGCACATCTCCTCTCCTCTCCTGTGCCATCCTTCTCACAGATGAGCGCCACTGAACGCAACGTGATGTACTTGTGAGTGAGACCATGGAAGGTAATGTGATCTACTTCTGAGTAGGCATCTGTCTCTTCTGGGCAGAATATGATAAGGACAAACTCAAGAGAGCAAAGGAGGCAGTTGAGTAGGGTCAAAAAGGCATTACGAATTTTGTCAAAGCTAGGGAGGGAAGGGAGAAGCAGCACTGCATTTGCAAGTCAGAGACGGCGAGAGAGATGAAGTGAAGCTATGAGAAGGTGAGGGAAGCAGGAAAGTCACTGAAGGAGCTCCTTCTGTTTTGTCAAAACCCCGATAAGACATGTCCTCTTCCCTACCACCCTATTAAGACCACTCCTCCTAATGCCAAAACAGCACACAGGTTTCACACACACTGATATTATATATTGGGTGAAAACCACAACATATAAACAAGTTGTGATATCAGTGCTCTGAAGAAATCTGGGGTACAATGGCAGAAATAATGCCAGGAAGGCGGGTTGGGGTGAGCAGTGTGTGACATGCCTGTGAGTCAGGCATTATAACCCTGGGAAACAAACCTAGTTAGACTCTCCCCTGGTTGGTGGAAACTGGCGATCTGGCTCATCTTCTTCTTTGCTACTGAGATAAAAGGGCTGCCCGTCCATCTGCAGAACCAAGTGTACCATACAAAGGAGAGGTAAAGCCTAACCCATGTCTTCTTCTGTTTGTGTGTCTCTTTCCCCCATTCGTGGCTTGAGCATTAAATGTGCTGTGATGCTTTTATCCAGAATCCTAGCTTACGTGCAGGGTCACAAAGCATGTTTCATCAAGGTTTTGTATTGCCTGAAACATGTGGTCAGAAAACTTACTTGCCTGGATTTATTTTTTAAAAGCCCACTCAAGTGGGCTATTCAAAAGAAGCAGCTACTTTTCACAGAGCCAGCCGAGGGCAGATGCAGCTCTGTGGTCCACGCCTGGCTTCCGTCTACCCTGGCTGCGGGGGAAGGCCCTCACCCTCCTTCATAGCCAGCATCCAGCATAGCAGGCTGGCAGGAGAGAAATGGGTCACTCCTACCCTCTCCCGCTGGTTTGCTTGGTTTCCATGCTGCCTGTGGAGAAACTTGGACTCGCCCACCACTGGCTTTGAGACATCGTGGACAGCGGGAGGCAGTTGCTAAAGGCCTGAGTTAGTAAGTTGGCTTGTGTTCACCCTTTGGGTCAAAAACTATCCCATGGGAGTAGGTCAGCCTGGACTACAATGCCCATCACCTTCAGCCAACAAGACTAAGGCACTTATGAGTAAGACTTCAATTCTATGTATACTTGGTTGGAAGCAAACCCCACTGACCACAGTGAGACTTACTTCTGAGTAAGCCCATAAGGTACAGTTTCATTGCTCATCAGAGACACACTGGTACTGGTCAGCTTTCCCATTGTTATGTCACTCCAAATTAAAACTTGACCAAGTTTCAGCAACAACTTACTATGATCTTTAACCTATTGGAAAGGAGGTGGTAGTATTCCCGTAAGTTCCCTCTTCCTTCTATTTCACAGCGTAAAACCCAGTTCTCAGAGGCAGCGATGTTTAATCTGAGGCATCCCCAAGGACAGGAAGGGCCAGAGTCCTTGTTGCTGGGAGCCACTGTCTCCCACACATGCCAAAAGGAAGTCTTTCAGCATTAGTAAGCATGGCTAAATTACATACTTCTGGAAGTACCAGCTACCACACACTTCCCTCAGTTTTTGAAAGGATTTTTGGTTTGAAAAATGAACAGATTGCAAAATGCACAGAGTCCCTGAAATATTGTGGTTTATTTTGTTAAAAGCGATTGAATTTGGGCAGAGAAAAATAAAATGCTTCCTTGGTTTCCGCCTGCACTCTTTGAACTACCCCAGAAGTAGCTTAGCTTTATGATGTCATGTTCTGTAGGAAATAATTTCTAGCATCAGTACAAATTAATCTGTACATTTGGGCGTAATCTGGCATTTGTGCTTGTTCACCACAACCTGCAGCCAACTGGGTGGGAAACACTGGGAATTTTGTGCAACACAGCTGGCAGGTCCCATGCTGGGGAGGACGGGCTGACTAGCTGTGATTTTGCTGTACGTTAATTCCTAAAGCATCTCCAAACCTATTTTTTAAGCAAATAAATGCATGAAATTCTCCACTCTATTTTTGGGCAGAGAAATAGGAAGGGGAACAGTTTACTGAATATCTCCCTGGAGAGGAGAAATTGTCCAACAATTTCTTAGGGGGCAATAACACAACTTCCCTCACCCCACCCACTGTCCCCAAGATGTGGGTTTGTTTTTCCTCCCACTGCAAGAGGAAACAACAGTAGCAGCTGTGTTGGCAGTCTGGCTGCTATTTTTCATTCCCTGGATTTAGGATTATTCTGGCCTTGTGGGGCAAGCTAGTGTGGGAGGGAAGGGGGCAGGGCTGGGGTGGCAGCAAAAGCAATAGTATTTAGAGAATTATTTGCAAAATGGCTTTTTCTAAGGGAAAGTGTCTTCCGAGAAGCATTAGCTCAGTTCTAGAAAAGGATGCAAGCTGGGAAGATGTGTCTGGGAGGAATATGAGAAAGACAAATCAAGAGCTGCAAGCTTACCTCTTTCATAGTGTCATCTGTTTGCTTTAGCTCTTCATAGCGGTCCCTGGATTCCCAAAGTGGGTGGAGCATCACTTCTTCAACCTCTGGAAAAAGCTAGAAGAAAGCCAAGCAGGTCAATTGGAGGGGCAATCCTATGCATGTTTGGACAGGAAAAAGTCCTATAGTACCAGCATTTCTCAGTTTGCATGTTGGTTGAAGGGATGCTGGGAAATGAATCACATTTTTGTTTCCAAACATGGATAAGACCATACCCTAAACTTCTCTTTTAACAATTCTTTTATTTTTACATGAAAATTAATCACAGAAGCATTGTATAAGGCACTGTTTTGTTTTTTGTTGGTGGGGGAGTTCAGTTCTAGTTGGCATTTTGGAATGTTAATAACTTATCAGAGCTGTCAATTAGGTAAACAATAACCATATGAAATTAATTCAGTCAGGTCAGATCAGTGCAATTAGATACACATTTGTCTGAACATAATTCCTATTGAAATCAATGGTCTGAAAAATGCAAATAATCAAATGAAGATTTTTAAATAAAAAAAAGCCACTTTGCTTTTAGATGATGCATGCATATGTTGTCGGAGAGGTTTTCTTTCCCAATTATGGATAAGGTAAGGAATGGCATGTTTCCTGCATGATAATGCCTGCCATTAAAAATAATTACCTTTATACACTGCATTGGCCAAATAATGGGGAGCACCTTTTTAGCTGATCAGAAGATTTAAACTAAATTATCTGCCTGACCCTACCTTTGTTACAGTTTCAAACATTGGAATCAGGACGAACTTCAGAAAGCCAATCTGTGCTGTAGGTTTGGTCACTTTGTCTCGGTCCATAAAAGGTGCCACTGGAAGACCTTCAGACTTTTCCCGGTCACTCTAGGACAGATGTAGCAATGTGTCAAGGCATTTTTAAATAAACAAATACATACAAGTTAATGGATATTATTTATGTATAATTTATATTGCTTATGAACTGAAGTATTTACAGCGTGCCTTTCAGCCCCCAGGGTGGTACACTAAAAGGAAAAGATGATAAGGGCAAATCAGAACAACAAACCAGATTAACAGCTGAGTTGTCATTACAGCAGAATGAGCCCTGTGCCCAAACCCATTTGAAATAGACCTGTAGGGGAAATAGGTCTTCAGTGCCCATCTAAAAGGGAGTAAAGAGAGAACTTCAGTCAGTACCAGTGCCCAGGACTGTACAGCTGTTTTTTCTCAAAATAAAGGTGGGCAGTTTAAACATGTTTGGTTTTACAGAGCATGCATGATTTAAGATATGGGTCAGCCCGGAGAAATGCCACCATGCAAATGAAAGGAAGGGAGGGCCATCTCAGGACTTTCCCATAAGCTGCTCCTTTTGCCTGATCTTGTGCAATGAATTTATCAGATGTGTTTTTAAAAATAGTTATTATGGCTCCAAATCATTGTTCCGGTACCGGGGAGATGTTAAATCAAGAAGTACCAGAAGTGCTTCCCCCGCTTTGTATCATGATCAAGCATTACTTGGTCCAGTGCCAACTGCCACAACTTGTTCATACACACTTCCATTGGCATATGGGTGGGCCAGTTGGCCATTCCCTTAATTTCTGTTGTTGTTGTTGTTGATTCCTCCTACAAATGTCTCCAATGGAAACACAGTAAGAAATGATAACCATGGCACCATATGGTACCTTTTTCAGTACTAATGAGATTGTCCTTTTGAAATCTTCAGAGACCTTCCTTCCTTCCTTCCTTCCTTCCTTCCTTCCTTCCTTCCTTCCTTCCTTCTCTTTTCCATGACTTAGTCACAAATGTTACAAAGCCATCTGTACAGATAAAAATAATCCAAACCTGACCCACTTGGTGCTACTCATTCAACTGACTTTTTCCCCACAAACAGATCTCACCCCTTTTGGTTTTACATTGTTCACATACGGGCTTAACTTGAGAACAATCTATTAGGAAGAACAAGCAGTAATCCAGTCTCATTTCGTGCCTATATTTTCCCTTTTAGTTTATGCATTCCAGTCAATTACAGTCACTTTTATTTCGAGCACATCACCAGGATGACACATTTCCCGGACCATACTGAGAAAGAGACCTTCCATCTGGTTGGATTTAGCCAGTCAGGCAGTGGCCTGGTTCACACAAGCACCGTGGTTTAAGCAACAGATTAAGCTATAGTATGTGCCAGGCATCATTTGCCTAATTATTTGCCTGGGCATGGCTTGTTGTTTCAGCTGAACCTGGCTTGCCTGAGGAGGGGAACAATGCTCAAATGACCCCTGGTCTGTCACGGGTGGGCAACTAGATAAATGGTGCCCAGCATGTGTGTTAGCCTATGCCACGGTGATAGTGTGTACGGGGCCACTGCTTCTGTAATGGTGAAACCTGAACTACTGGAGTGGTGCCTCTGGGGGTGCTCTTACCTGCATAAAATATTCCTCTAATAAGCAGTCTACCCATGGCTCAGCCACTTCCATTGGGCGAACTTCATTGGAGATATCACAACATTTGATCAGTATCATCTTCAACTGAAAGCAGGAAAGCATTTTGACAACTTTGTAAGTAAGAGAGAAAGGGTGTTATCTGCCTTTTCCCTGGCACTGTTCTCTTCACTTCAACAGTGGAATCTCTGCACTGAAACTAGCCGGGGGGGGGGGGGCAGTCAAGAGGGATAAAAAGCAATCAGGTTTCTGCTATTGACCACAGTGAGAAGATGCCTACAGACAGTTGTCTTTGCCTAGAACATGCGCTCCGGGTTGTACACAGCACCCCAGTGACTATAGGAGGCGGCTTGGACCAATCTGCTCACCTAGCCTAGTAGTGTCTACTCTGGCTGGAAGCTGCTTCCAGTGTCTTAAGCAGAAGTCCTTCTCACTCTTTATAGATCACTTTAGCTGGGGTGCCAGGGATGCAGTCTAGGACCTTCTGCATGCAACCCATGAGCTGTGCCACTGAATGATCAACACCCCGCTAATTTGGATTCCTCCATAAGGAGCAGCCTCCATGCAAAGTTGCATGCTTAGCTCGAAGGTATTTTCCCATAGCAACATCTACTTTGAAGGAATTCCTCCTTTTGCATTTCATTCATTCCGTTTCAGTCAGATGGTACATGATCCTTATGAAAACTAATCTGCCCCACTGCCTTAGCCTTTGGTGTGATGGAGGGAGGCAAAAGGAAAAACTCACATTTTGAATGTGACAGATAGAGGCACCTGAAAATTATCTAATAGCCTGATCCTTTACAAACCACTCTTAAAAGACGAGTGACTTAATTGTGTATTTAGCCCTTTAAACGCAAGTGGTTCAAAAACAGACCAGATGAAATATCATGGCTGTGAATAAAATGACATTCCCTTGAGGTGAAAAAGGTTAGGACAGGGAAGGACACTGATTAATTTTTCCTTACTGAAAAGCACCGGCTGATCACAGGGTGCTTCCAAACGAGACTGTTATTGTACAAGCACCCTGCCTTAATTCATGGAATTTTACAGAGGGTCCAGATGACAGTTTTCCATTTGTAAGCCTTCCTCCCACTGTGTTTTCCCTCCACTTCTCCCAGCATTTTCTTATCACAGAGTGGTAAGAAAGTGCAAAACACTGACTAGAGGAACCATGCCTTCTGAGGGTTAATGCCAGAAGCCTTCCATCTGGAAGCACCCTTAGACAACTGTGTAATATCCACCATTTTGACCAGGTTGGATTCCTCTGAAACGGCCACACTGCTGAGCTTTCTTTAAAATGGGGCAGAGCCAGATGTTCAATGCAAATCACCGTTTCCGTGATCTGCTAAGGAGAAAGGGAGGGAGGGAGCTCAAGGGGGGGGGGGCATTCCTGTAGCTACTTCATGCTGCCATTCTGTGGACCATGCAGAAAGGACAGGACAGACTCTGCTTACCTGGGTCACATGCTCCTCATCAGAGTAGTCAAAGCTGTCCAGTGTTTCTTTGAAAGAGTCTAGTATTTCAGCATGCCTTGCCATGTCTGTTGCTAAGATTAACGTAATGATTCCCTATGCAAGATAAAGATGGTAAGATACTCAGGCTTCTTAAATGAGAAAGGACTGTTTTGCACATGGGATCCCTGCTCTTCAACTTGCTCCTATTGAACCTGTTGCGCACCATCCCCTGGCATCATTTTGAGATGCCAGGGGAGATGCCAGGGATCACCCTGTGCAAGGGAGACCGAATGCTACGTTATGCTGAAGATCTATTAGCATTCGGCGTTTCCAGTGTTACTGTGGAGTCTACGGCGGGAGGAGATCCATGTTGGGTCTGTACTGCGAGGAGAGGGGCACTCCATGCCCCAAACCAGAGGCTGCCCCACCTCCACTCTTTCTGCGTGAGAGGGGATTCTTCTTAAGCCTACGGGTTTTCTCCTCTGCAGCTAGTTGCAATGTGTAATGTACACGGTAGCAGACTTGGCCACAGCTTTTAAAGTCATACCTGCCTTATCCGTTTGAACTGTTCCTTATCCACATTGGATAAAATGTTGCATTCAGGTTGTGCAAGGATCTGGAAAGCTACTGCACAGTGATGGTTCTCCAGAGGAGAGATGTCATTGTAGCGCACTGCAAGCTCTGTTCGCGCATTAATCTGGTACCTAATGTGAAGGAAAGACATATGAAAAAATGCACTCTCAGTCCTGAGGGGCCACACTTTTTGTACCGTCAGCACAGTTTGGTTCTATTGAGCTTTCTTAAGCTGCAGCAGTGAGATTCGTCTTTGTCCTTGAAGCTCCGTGCTTTTTAAAAAGGGGGTCAAATTACAGGGGCAGTAAGTTAGTCTGTTGTAGCAAAACCTGCAAGAGGATCCTGTGTGCCATCTGAAAACCAGCCCACTTTCCAGATGCATAGTTCTTGAAAGCTCAAGTCACAAGAAATGTGTTTCTATGCAGAAATCACCATAATATTTCCTTGAACATCTGGAACTACAGCTGAATGTTATGTAAGTGGAAAACCCAGTGTGGCTTCCCCACCCTCTTTTCTACTGCAGCCCCTTGTATCTCTGGACTGTTGGAAAAGACCTGGGATGTGGCTCAGGGAGATGAAGTTAGAGAAGGGAACTGGCAACATTCGAAATCCACATTGCCTGATTGGCCTTCTGTTCATGCAAATGCTTGAAAACAACCCATGATATCCAGGTTCAATGCAAAATGATTCTTATGCAAAGGGTTGTGCATGCATGAAAAGTATATGCACACATAGATATTTGCTTACAATTTTGTCACAACAGTCTCATCACCAAAAATAGCAGTCTGCTTTTTAAAATAAATTCAGGAATGGGAACTCTGAAGCAGCAAATGCATCTATCTGCATTTCTCTCTGTGTGTGCATGGACATACCTGTTTCTTCTTGTGCGCACTGGTCCCTTTCTAGGGTCTAGTTCTATGCCATTCATTCATTCATTCATTCATTCATTCATTCATTCATTCATTCTGTGTTTCTTACAATAGGTTTTCTATTTCATACTCAACATTTAGAACATCTTGTCAATATGTACAATATATTATAAGTAAAGAGGTTTACTTATCAGAAAAGTGAATAAAAATTCGGGAAAGCGGGGTGGGGGTGAGGCTAGGACTGTGGTTGGATGTATCATGAAATCTCATCTTTACAAAATCCCTGGTGAAATATATTTTCAGTTTTTTTATTTAATTGACATATTTAGATAATAAATACAAGATATAATAATGACTGTAGACAAGAAATGGCACACACTGCCAAGGGGTAGTGGCTGAGTCACAGCAACCACTGTTTTTCAAGGCCTGCTTGAGGCTGCTGTGTGACCTTCAGCAAAATGCCATGCTGCTTTCCCCTCCTGAATTTTCAGCATTTGATGCCGAAATGTCCTTTGTCCCTTCTCCCACCCCAGTTCAGTCTTGCTGCTACACTAGCTAAGAGGGAAATAGAAACATTAACTGACCAGTTCTAAGCACACCCATCAATTTAATAAGCTGCAGAAAATTTTGAAATAACTTTTTGATGGACTCTCATTTTTTAATACTTCAGTACTTTTCCCACCTCTCTCTGCTTCTGTGCGATCATTTTAAGAAGACTCTTTTGTGGACATACAGCACTTCAGATAGTGACACCTCCCACATTTCAGTCTAGTACATAGTGCCAAGTCTCTGTGTCCCACACACAGTGCCTGCACTGTTGCTTTGCCACTGGAAACCAATTATTTTCCTTGTATAAGGAGCTTGATTCTGTTTGTCAAGGGCTTTTATTTTCCAGCCTAAGGGACACTTCACGCACTCCTGAGTAGCAAACACTGCATGGGTGAAAGGCAGACTCATGCTTTATCGCGCAGAAGGTACTCTCAGCCGGAAGCCACAATTGGCTTCTTGCTAGCATGTACACAGTGAAATTCGCATGCATTCCTATTATGTCCTGTGAGAAAAGCCCAATTTGCCAGCCTCATTGTATTTGCACTAAGGTGGCCTCTGCCTTTCTTTGCAGAGGAGTTTTTAACATTTGAAGGCATCCTCCATGTGAAGGGCTGTCCAGTCCAGATAAAGAACCAGCAGAACGGTGTGGGGGCCGTGAAGCGGCCCGTCTGCAGTTTGGACCTGGACAGCAAATTGAGCAGACACACCTGACACAGGTTCCTCCATTATGGTGAGACGTATTACATTTTTACTTAAATTACAGTATTTTTTTCCCAAATGTGCACCTGTGAAGATCAAAGAACATATGCAATTTGTAGCAGGTACATGAGTGTCCTCTTTTGTGGTGATGCGTATCCTCCTTATTTGTGATGTTTTGGCAACCTGCTAAGCATGAAATTGTCTGCACAATGAACAGTTAAATGGTCTCAGGCCCCACTAACTTCAGTAGGACTGAAGCTGAAATCCTGCCCACTTACCTGGGAGTAAGTCATCCTGGGCACAGTGAACAAACACATAGAGGATCGCAGTGTAAGTCGTGTTTAATATGAGGAATTGTAGGCTAAGCTTTGGTCTGCATTTACTCAAACATTATACTGCCAGCAATCTTTGCCAAAAAGGATACATACGTGTTGTTATATCCTGGGTGATCGAGGTCATGACACACTGATGCAGTCATTAGCATTAAGATATCCATCTGGGAAAGCTTTACCTGAGCAGGAGGGGAAAACGCAGACTTATAACTTTGTATGGGTTTTGTAATGACGAAAAAAACATTTGTTTTGGAAAAGTAGGTTATAATCGGTTCAGTGAACGGAGGTTTAATAGCTACATTTATTGCATACCAGATTGAAGAGGCTTTTTCTTTTTCTTTTTGGTAGCAGTAGCAAATTATTTAAGACTGTCTCTGATGTATAATTAACAACAAGATAGGAAAAAAGTTCAGTTTCACATGACAGTGGAGAAGCTTTATTTAAAAGCAAAGCTTTCTAATTTTATAAGACATCAGGGTTTGTATTAGTTTAAAAAGCCATTTATTTGAGCCCTTCATGCCCTATTTGAGCTCAGAAGACAAATGTGAAGATCAAGTAATTTGGAGTTTATTTTTGATGATCTCTTTGCTTGAGCTAACAACCTGACCCTAACTCAAAGAATTCTAGTCACTTTCAGCCATATACCATTGCTGATTCAGTTGCTCAGTTCAGAGGTCAACTTCCCATGTTTAATGGGGTGGGAATGCGGGGAGACCAACCAACACCAAGCTGTTCAGGGCCGGATGAACCCGGGCCAGATGCCATTGTTGGGAGAGAAGGAAATGTGGGGGCACAAGTGACTCATCTTCCTGCTTTAACAAGCTTTTATGCTGAGATTTATAGGAGCCATCTGTGGTGCTCCGTGGTGGTGCCTCTGTTTAGGGGATGGAGTTAAGCACCATGGACTGTTCATTTAAAGCTTGGAATAGCTGCCTCAGTGGATAAGGGACCCCACTGACAGAGGAGTCACCGGCCTCCTTTGTCCCTTCAGCCCCCACAGCTCTCCGACCCCTTCAGAGAACAGAATGTACCAGAGGAAATTAAGGCAGTTCTGTCTATGCTGAAATGGCTAGAATGGGTAGCCAAGGCACTTTTCTCACACTGAAGGACAAAAAAGATGCTATGCTAAATACATCTGCATAGCTTTATTTTTTAAATGGCGCTTGTGATGGGCCTGATCTAGGCTGGGTCTGTGGCATGAGCAGAGCAGGGACTTAATCCTTTCATTCTGGCACCACTTCCCTGCTGATGTCATTTGCTGCCGAATGGAAGCTGCCATAGGTACACAGAGCAGCTTTGCTTCAAAGAGCAGCTCAGGTGAGGTATTCTTACTGGGAAGATACCGCAAGGTGAGGGCTATTCCTGCTTCTCCTGCACAATTCTTCTTCCTTCTCTTTCTCCTCCTATATTTTTATTTACTTAATTTATACTGATAATTTTAATCTTATATTTGTAAATCAATGTATTTTTTGTATTTTGTATTTATTGGTAATTTATTATGTGCTATTGTATTTCATTGTATTTTATCGTGTTGTAAGCTGCCCCGAGGTTTCAGCAAGGGGCGGCATAGAAATGTTATAATAATAATAATAATAATAATAATAATGGTCCCAATCCAAGTTGAGACCCTCAAAGCAACTTGTTTTTAAACATAAAGATGCATGCATAGAGTGCAATCATGCATTTCACCCATCTTCTATTTTGACTCTGCATTTCAAACTAGGTAGGGTGAAGGCTACAGTAAGGTGTTGTGGGGCCCATAAAAATCACACTGTCTGTCGCTTCTCATCAGCTGTTCCTGGTTTACATGAGCAGGAGAACCTGAACATGCCAAGACTGTCAACCTTCTTTCAATAGCTTTTAATTCTCCCAGAGAACAAGCGAGTTCTGGAATACTTATTCTGGCCTAACTACACAGGTGAAGGAAGACCTCCTCTACATTATGTACTAAATTAAGAACTGCCATGCTGGGGAGAAAAATCTCTATATGGTACAGGGCATGCGTTGTATGAATGCAAACCCATGTTTCTGGTGATTGTGGAACAGGAGAGAGCTAAAGTGGGCAGCAAGGACGCACCTGGAGATTGCAGAGAGAGATCATGCTGTACATCATCTGCGTAACACAGAAGCAGTGTCGAAAATTATGGAATGGATTGCTTCTGTAGTTGTCATGAATACACAGCTATAAAAAGAAACAAAATAATGATAAGGAAAGCAAGGGTATAGCACTAAATTCCCATAACTAACCCTTGGATGTCCTAACCCCTGCCTCTTGCATTCTGTGCTTCACAAGCCCTTGGCTATGCTAGCAAGCTACGCTTGCACCCTAGAAACACATTTAATGCTGAATTGTCTTTAAGAGTGTTGGTGTGTGTGTTGGTGGTGCTGCCTTCTTCCTGTTTTGGCTACTCTACAATTCCATTGATTATTAGCAGTAATATATCAAGCACATTGTAGAGAGCCAGTGTGGCATAGTGGTTAAGAGCATGGGACTGGGACTCAGGCGATCTGGGTTCTAGTCTCCGCTCAGCCACTGAGCCAACTGGGTGACTTTGGGTCAGTCACAGACTCTCAGCCCAACCTACCTCACAGGGTTGTTGTTGTGGGGATAAGATGGAGGAGGAGGAGGATGTAAGCTGCCTTGAGCCCTTTGTAGGAAAAAGGCAGGATATAAATAAAAAAATAAATAAAAAAATAAAAAATAAAACTGCTTGACAAATTCAGAAAAGAGGAGGAAATGAGTCAAATTCTTGACTTATGCATCCACCTTTTGCACTTCAGTGACATGGGTTGGTCACAGAGGGACTCCTAGTGCTATCGGTTCAAAGACATTGTGTACCTGTTCCACGAAAGGAGGCTCTATGGTAAGAAAAACGGTGGAAGGTGATGGGAAAACATGGGAGAGTCACAAATGGAAAGTGATGAAATGCATGTACCCAGCACTCCAATCAAATTTCACGATGGAGGAAGAGCCACTGCAGGATAAAAAGAATCATCTGGAATCACTGGGGTTGTGAGCTGAGCACTCTCTCCTAGCAGTAACAAACTCACCAGTGCGTCTTTCCAAATGTCTTTATTTTTACTTGTAAGTCTCTGAGCATACCCAAAGTGAAATTTGAACCCTCTCTGGCCCTTTCCACCCAACGCTTTGCTCATTAATCCTTCTGTGCCTGTCTCTGGAGGGAGGAGCACTGTGGAAACGGGCACCCCTGTGTTCCTCCCTCTGAGACCCCAGCTGGGCCACCCTCTGACTGTGCCACTTGGGTCCACCTCCTCAGGAGGCGTTCTCTATCCAATAGACTCCACATCTCTAAATCTCCCCCCTCTGGATGTTGTTGCTCTTCTTTGTTCCCATGGGTGGTTGACTTGGCTGCCCTTGAACTAATTTCTTCCCTAGCAGGCACAGACAGGTACCCAGGGCCTTGGACTGCAGCAGGAGTTGAGTTTATTTCAAAAACTGTCTTATTATCAGAGCCTAAGCTGTCATCCCTGGCAGAATAGGCCAACTCCCCTTCCTACATCTCATTCTCAGAATCTGAGCTTTCAGTCCAACCAAATGGTCACCTCAGAACCTTGCCAGGATGTGCGTGCAGGACAGGAAGGGGGAATGTTAATTTCTTTCTTCAAGGACAGGTGTGCAGGTTCTACCTCTGCATAATACTTTAAAATGCAAAAAAGGAAGCTGGGCAACCACTTTTACATCTTCTCTGAATATGCAAAGCCACCTAGAGATCAGCCAGTGAGCAGCAAGCGATAATGAGACCACAGCAAGAAGAAGAATTTGAGTCATCACCACAGATGTTTGCAGTGAAGGTTTGCTTGATTCAACATAATTACCTTGCCTGTAACTTGAGACAGGAATAGGGCAAGAGCCTTCCTACTTGATTTACTTCTTTAAAAGCATGTTTGTGGGTAGCTGGGACTAAAATAGGGTTCTAAGTAACCTGGGAACTTTGGAAGGAACTAGTCATATGTTATCCATAAGTTCCCAGCCTTTGTCTAGTTCCAGGATGAAGAAATGTGATTTTTCAGTGTACATATTCAATCTTCTTGTGTTTCCAGAAATTAAATTAAGTTCAATTTAATGGAAATAAACTTAAGGAAGGAATAAAATTCAATCCAAAATTGAGATTTTGTTTTTGGTTTTCATGGAATTCTGCTGGTCTGGGAGTCAAAGTTTTAAAGAAGTTTTAAAGGTGTTTAAAGATGAAAGTTGTAAAGGTTTCAAAGTGGGCATTATGAAAACCTGGTTGAATGGAGACACCAGTAGGAAACAGTCATCTCTGGATATAAACTCTATAGGAAGGACAGAGAAAGGGCATCCTGGAAGAGGCATTGCTGTGTACGTCAAAGGCAGCATAGCTCTGAGCAGAGAAGAAAGCCTAAAAGGGGCAGACTAATTCATAGAAACACTGTGGGTGACAATACCTTCCCCCCAAACTAATGCAAAACTAATTCAGCACTGGGAACATGCTATCTTCTCCCTGATCAGAATACTGGGTGATACTGAGATGGAAAATGTGCCCATAGGACAGTGCCTAGAACAGTTGCTTGTGGAACCAACTAGGATGAAAGTGACCCTAAGTGGAGTCATCCACACTCTAGTACAAGATTGGAGCATTGCTAAACCAACAGAAAACTATGACCACAGTTCTTTTCTCTTCTTTTCTTTTCTTTTATGACTTCTCTTTTATAACTTCTTTTATATCGTTTATATTTTTTATTTATTTTATATTATTAACTGTAATTTTATATTGTTATTTTTGTATTGTATTTTATTGTGTTGTAAGCCACCCCGAGGCTTCGGCAAGGGGCAGCATAGAAATGTTCTAATAATAATAATAATAATAATAATAATAATAATAATAATGTAATATGCATTTAAATGGTAAATTGATACAGAACACCACATCTGACCTGAAAAGAGGAAACTTCTCTAGTATGAGGCAACTGGTAAAAAGAAAGCTGAAAGGGGGAATCAGGAGGGTTCTATCCCTGCAAAATACTTGGAGGTTACACAACATCACACGAATAGGATATCAGATAGAATGTGTGCCACAGGTTAGGAAAGGTAGCACCAAGTTCAAGAGGTCACTGGCGTGGTTAATGAACACTGTCAATGAGCATTGTGATTAGACAAAAGGAGAATTCCTTCAGAAAATGAAATCTCATCCAAATGAGACAAACAGGAGCAGACACACATTTGCACAAAGGAGATGGAACCAGAACGTGAGCGATAAAAGCAACAACAACATCAACAACAATTTTGTATTTGTTGTTTGGATTGTATTGCTGGCAACATCAAGGACAATAATAAAGAATCAGGAAGCAGGAAACTAGCTAGAGGGCAATTGGACCTTGGGATGACAATGGAGCTAAAAGGAGTACTAAAGGAGAATAAGGCAACTGCAGAGAAAGGGAATTAATTCTTTTCCTCTTTACCAGACATATACATGTGCCTGAACAGATGTCTTCAGGAAGGGAAACTGAGGAAAATAGTGTTGACAAAAGATGAAGCTGTCAACCTTATTGACAAAAATTGCAAGTTAATAAATAATCCCCAGCCTCAGGAGAAATCACTCCTTGAGAGTTATGGCACTGGTATCTGAAAATGCTGCTCTTTCAAAAATTTGTAACATGTTCCTAAGATCTGACTCTGTACTAGAGAATAGCAAATGTATTGCCAATTAAAAAGAGATCCAGGGGAATCCAGGACATTATAGCTTAATATCTGTTCTGGGAAAATTAGTGGTTGAAAGCATTATTAAAGATAAAAATTAGTATGCATATAGAAAGAAAAGCTTGCCTGAAAAAGAATCAGTGTGACTTCAGCAAAGATGTCCTCACTCACTACACTTTTGGAGTTCTCAGTAAACATGTGGGCCTCAGTGACCCAGTAGATGTACAGTAGAACTTCCACATGCACTTTAGCTAAGTCCCTCACCAAAAACAGCTGAGCAAAACTGGTTGGGGAGACTCTCCCTTGAGGAAAACTTATAACATTTGGAATTGTTTAGCTTACAAAAAAGGTAACTAAGGGAGATGTGATAGAGGTGTACAGAATTACGCATGGTGGAAAGAGACTTGGGTAGGAAGATATTTTTCTCCCTTTCCCATAATTCTAGTATCCAGTGGAGTCATCCCATGAAGGAGACTAGTGGAAGTGTTAAGAAAGGTATAAGAAAGCCCTTCTTCTCACAATGCTATGGAATTAATTTTCAGATGATTTAGTGATGACCACCAATTTGGATAGTTTTTTTTTCTTTTAATGTACACATTCATGAAAGGGATGGTTATCATGGGAGGGAATGGCTGCTAGACTTGATGGCTATGTGCTACCTCCAGTCTCAAGAGGCAGTATGCCTACCAACTGTGAGGGAAAATGGGTTGGAAGATTCTGCTTGTAGATGTCCTTCAGGCAGCTGGGTGGCCACTGTATGGATGGAACTCAGGATGACATGGACCCTTGCACAGATCCGGCATGGTTCTTCCTTGCCCCCTTACCTAATTTCTGTTGAGCACTCTCCCTCCCTCCCTCCATCTGCATGTGTGTGCATGACAGAAAGAGAGAGGCAGAGAAGCACAAAGTTATGATCTCATCTTCATATAGTTATTCAGGAGGCAATACAGGGTTGTTGTGGGGATAAGATGGAGGAGGAGATGTAAGCTGCCTTGAGTCCTTGGTAGGAAAAAGGCAGGGTATAAATCAAAAAATAAATAAATACATACAACTGCGACATGATTTTCAGTTCATTTAGGTGGTGTTTCAGGTACACACCATGACTAGATGATGGCAATGCCTCAACTAAAAAAGGATATACAATTGATGTAAGGCATGGAGTGACCCATTAGGCATCTCGAGTAAAATAACTTTACTTTTGTCACTTTCTAAACATTTTGTAATTTGGATGGCTCAATCAGGTAGCTTACTCAGTTTTCCATTTAAAGAAGGGACCCAAACATCTAAGGCCAGTACAGGATGAAATTGATATGGATTGTTTTCTTTATCTTTAACAGTTTTCTTTAACTTTGAGCCCATGCATCTACATGTAAAATTTTGCAGTTGTATGTTTAAACAAACACCAATAAAGCCCCCAAACAAAATTCAATGGATGTCTTACCAGCCACCGTTTCAGTGTTATAGGGTTGATGTTAAAGTCTTTCACTAATCCTAAATCATGATACATATGTTCTAAACAACTCAGCATCTAGAGGAGGGAAAAGAATTCTTGGGTTATTTTTGTATTATCCTCACTGTTGCACTTAAAAATACATTTATTGCATACTCCAATATACTCTGTAGCTTAAAGTAGTACCAGATGCATCTAGCATGCCAACTGTGGGAATCAGGTTCAATTTCTAATCCCTGAAATTCATTGCCAGCCTTGAGCAACCTATTCTGTGTGAGCCCCAAAAGATGGGGATTAAATGAAATCATACTAGATGGCTCTTCTTGAAGCCATAAGAAAGAGATCTGTGTGAATGCAGAGGTTTCAGTCCTACTTCTGTACAAATCAATGGCAAGATTATTGTTCTTAATGTAGCAGAAGGGACACTGAAGTCTCTTCCGTGTAGCTAAGTCTCTCAGGACTTTAGTCTTCTGCTTCATAAGTGTCCACCCGAATTAAAACTCCTTCCTTTACCCCCACCCCATACATTCATTTTACTAATAAAATGACCGCAAATGCGATCCAATCCTGCTGTAAGTGCACAAAAGAACAGCACTGGGATACAATGGCAGCTGGAAAGAAGGACAGGCGAAACTGAGCCCTGCCTAATATAAGGGGTGTCTTCCTGTGCTTAATTTAATCTTGTACGCTCCATGCAGGAAACTGAATGGTGTATCTGCACATTCCAGAAGCTAAAGTACACAGGGAAACTATTGTTTTAAGAGAACAATCCTGGGCTATGTATTTCTCCTTCTCAACCACAGGCAACAGCGATAGGCTATGCATTTCTTCTTCTCCTGCGCCTGAACAGATGTTCTCAGGAAAGGAGTCTGAGGAAAACCGAAATATGCTGGTCATTTTGCATCCAGACTAGATTACTGCAATGGGCTTTATGTGAGGCTGTCTTTGAAGATGGTCTGGTGAATTCAACTGTTTCAAAATAGGATGGTGCAGTTAGTAGCAAGTGTCAGCTTACACACCTGTATAACGCCAACTTTGTAGAAACAGCATTGATTGCCAGTTGTACTCCAGACCCAATTCTTGTCTTGACATATAAAGGCCTAAATGAATTAGGACTCGGTAACCTAAAGGACCATCTGCTCCCATTTATACCAGCCCACCCATTAAGATCAGGGCAGGAGGTCCTTTTGAAAGACCCATCCCATAAGGGGGTGAAAGGGATGGTGAATAGAAGAAGGGCCCCTCAATTATGGAATAGGCTCCCCAAAGAAATTTGCCTGGTGCTAACATTGCTATCATTTCAGCATCGGGTAAAGATGTTTCTCTTCTCCGTGTATTTTGATAGATTTGAGATCTGTTATTTATGGTGATATTTGTTGTCCTGCTTACTTGATATAATGATAATGTTTAGTGTTTAAATTGTGATTTTATTATGCCTGGCTTTATTGTTGTTGTTTTTAGCTTTTGTAATTATCAATTTTATTATGAGCCGCCTAGAAAATCCTTTTGGACTAGTGGGTGGCATATAAATAAATAAAAATACATTTTAGCTGAAGGTACTTGTCTTCCCTATGAGCCATTAGAAGCAATATTCTTTTTTCCATTTAAAGTGTTATATTGTGGGAGCTGGAGGAGGAAAGAAACACACTTTTTCTTGAGATACTTTAGGGAAGGGTGTTATGCTATTGTTTTGCACTATAAAGCAGCAAGCACTTATGCTATACAAACCCAAGTAAGTGCTACCAACATAACTGAACCCCTCACTGAGTTCACACTGGCTATGAACAGGTTCTGAGCAGGCAGGGTATGCATGGCATTTTTCAGACCACTGTGCGTCCATTATATGACCACTGTGCTGCTTGTATGATGAATCAGGCAGCTCACTGAAATGCAGCTTTCTCTTTCTCTGTTTTCTGGGTTGGCATCCCAGAATCATTGTCAATCAGCTATTTTGGGAAATAGGCCCGCAACATAAAATCAGTCTTGGCACAGACCTTGGAGGTCGTCCAGTCCAGTCCAGTCCAGTCCAGTCCAGTCCAATCCTCTGCTCAAGTGGGATCTACAATACAGGATGCATGGCAGCATCCCTTGACAGATGGCCAGCCAGTCGCTGCTTAAATGCTTTCTCTGACTGAGAGCTCATCTCCTGCTGAGCAGTTCCACTGTGAACCATTCTGTTAGGCAGTTTTTCCTAATGCTTAGCCAAAACTGATCCTTCTAAAATTCCCACCCATTGGTTCCCTCTGGGGTAAGGGAACCATCTGTGCTCCATTGTATGTATCAGAACACTTCAGATATTTGAAGACTGCTAGCATGTCTGGCCATCTCCTCTTCTCAAGGCTGAACCCACCCAGCTCTTGTGGTTGCTCCTCATAGGTCCTGGCTCCAGACTCTTCATAATCCTGGTTGCTTTCCTCTTGACATGGTCCAATTTGCCAATGTCCTCTAAGGATAGCCTCCAGAACTGGGCACAGTACTCAAAATGCAGCCTGACCAGAGCAGAAGGGAGTGGAATTATTATTTCTTGAGACCTGAACATGAGGCCACGAGCTTTGGAAGTAGGAATTGGGGTCCAGAAAGCCCCTTTTGCACGATGCCAATTCTGTTCATGCTAAATGCGGCATAAGGTTTCCAGGAGTCCTCTCCCTCCTGCTCTCACGACACACACATCCCATTGCATTATGGAGGGTTCCTAGCCCTCAGAAATAGGGAGATAAGGGAAGGGACTCTTGTCATGGCTTTCTGGATTCCACCTCAAATATTAGGAAAATTTCAGATTTCTTCCCATATTTAGAGGTACATTTCCATCTGGCTTGCTTGACCTGTAAACTCATGCCAGTCAGAAAGGTATGGAAAACAAGATGAGCCAGCTACATCCATTTAAAAAATAAAATATCTCACATATTCCACTTTTCCATGAGTTGCGTTAACATATTGATGATCAGCCAGACGGACTCTCTCTCTCGGCGTTCTCATTAGAACTGCAGATAAATAATCTAATCTAGCAGCACTTTCACATACTTCTTGCACTCAGGCCATATGATTGTTTGAAGTCTACTTTTTGTACCAATTAGCACAAATCATATTGCCAATGTACAAATGAAAGTAGAAATAACAGTAGCTGTGACACAACAATGTGTTTCCGTTAGCTGGACAAATAGAATCTGGGGTGAAAAGTTGTTCTGAAAACCAATTTCAAAATGCAGAGGAAGGCCAACCTTTATTAGGCCAACCAAAATGGCATAAAACCACAAGTATATTTTTAAATCTCCAGAACTCTTCATCATGCTGGTAAACAAAGCAGGGCAGAGGGGATTAAAAACTGGCTGATATTTGAAGCTACTGAGTCTGACCTTAGCCAGAGTCTTGAAATGGAATGTTGGAAAAAACAGCAGAGAATTAGATTTGGGCAGCTGTGCTAAGGTCTGGACTACAGAACAGAGTTAGCTGATGCACATGATATTGAATAGAATAATACATTCCTATGCTTATACATTATCAGAAGAAAGTACTACTTTTCCTGTTAGTTTTGTGATACAACAGTTATCTGCTAAGCACCATTCTTTAAGAAGGATATGGACAAATTGGAACAGATTCAAGGAAGAGAGTGAAGATGGGCAGCAGTAGGGCAAACAGTGGTCATGGTGCTTGTTTCAAAGCCTTAAAAGGTGTGTAATTCAAATACATGAAGGGGCACCGGGTAGGCTATACCAGCCTACCTGTACATTCACCTTCTCAGATAAGGCTCTTCAGAAAGTGTCCTCAGAACATGAAGAAGGTGGCCTTTTCTATGATGCTGACCTGACTCTCCAGTGTTCACCTGAGGGAATCCCAGCTGGTGCTGGAGACCGAACTGGTGCCAGTTGAATATAATATTCTTTTAGGCACTGGATGATCATTTTTTTGGCAGTGGTGATGAGCTAGGGGAGGAGGCATGCTTATAGTTCATTCTGGCTGTACCTTTTTAGCTGATCGATGAGTTTTGCTTTAATTCCACTCAATTTTAATGGAGTGATGTGTTCTTAATGTATTGCACACATGATTTTATGCTTAAATACTTCCTTGGAACCTATTTGGGTGGGTGGTCTATAAATCTTTAGAACAAAATGATGAATGGCTGAGGGAAGTCTATGTTTGGCTATGTTTAACCTGGAAAGAAGTCTGAGTGAAGACATCATAGCACTGTTCAAATGCCAGAAGGGCTGCCTAATATAGAAGAGGCAAAGACTTGAACTCTGCTACTACAGATGGAGCCATCCTGCCCATATGACACACTGGAGGAGAGTCGATTTCAACTAAACATCAGGAGAAACTTCTGGGCATAGGAGCAGTGGGACTAATTAGCTGGCATGGTGGTGGTCTCTCCTGTGCTGGAGGTATCCAACAGAGATGGGGCCAACATCTGCTGGGGATGCTCTAGCTTTGGATTTTCTGCCCCAGGCAGCGGGTTGAACAAGGGACGATGAGGTCTCCTCCAGCCCTGTTTCCATCATTCTGTCCACGAAATGACTGGGCAACCATCTTCAACGTAAGTCTGCTGCTCCATCTAGTTCTAGAGTTCCTCAGGCTGCACTCATTAGTAAAATACTTCTTTTTTAAATTAGTCATTTCTCTGAAGAAAATTTTGAAATTGTTGTCCCTGCAACAAATATGTCCAAGTGCCAGTCCTCAAATACTCATGAACAGACCACAAAATTACATCTACAGGATGGGATGTCAGGGATTGGTTTTCATTTGGCATTCTTACCTCATTGGGCTCCCAGAGCCAGACGTCAAAGGTTGGTTTCCTAAGAGCTTCTATGGTCTCCTGAGAAAGCATGTACTGCACAGAAAAAATCTAGGGTTATGAATTACTGTTGTAAGCAGTATCTGCTTTATCTCTAGATCGGCCATTTCAGTGACTCAGCTCAAGTTCTCCCTTAGCCAGGACTTCTCATGAATCAGAGCTGGGGGCTTAGCTCAAGTAATTGTTTTCAAAGAGCAGCTACCAGCTGAGAGAGAGAGAGAGAGAGAGGGAGACTCTGCACTTGTGCAGAATATATTGCCCTTGCTATTAAATAAGTGTTACAGACTCAAATACTAGGCCAAACCAGGGATGCATCTGGATGATGACTACATTTCAGAGCTTGCCAGGACCCCAGTGGGAAGCTGTGTTTGCAGCATGTGATTCAGATCAACTGGGAAATTGGACCAATCAAGTGGAGGAGCCCTGGCATTATATACCTGGCCCAGCATGGCCTATTCACTGGAGAACCCAATCATGCTAGGGAAAGCTGAAGGCAGAAGAAAAACAAGACCAGATATGAGATGGACCGACTCCATAAAGGCAGACCCAGCCCTGAACTTAGAAAACCTGAGCAGGGCTGTCATGGAAAGGATATCTTGGTGGCTTTTCATTCATAGGGCTGTCATCAGTCAGAAACAACTTGACAGCACAAAATAACAAGACATTATATACGGCTGTCTGAATGCATGGATCCTTTTTCACTAATGCCAAGCACTCAGTCATGGCCAGCAGCCATGTTAGAATAAGAGGTGCATGGTCAACACACGTGTTTCCACTGCCCCTGTCTGAATCCATGCAAATATTTGTTACGTGTCTTTTGGGGATCAGTGGCTACCTTATCCACCTACCCGCTTTCTTTCCTTTTTGAAGCTTCTCACTTCTCCCACATTTCAAATTGAGCATCCATCACCTGTATAATCCCAGAGGGCACCAAACATTCTCACTGAGAAACTAAGTCCACCTTGAACCCGACTGCACGCTTGAACGCAAATGGTGTTGAAGGGCATTATGCAGCTGAAGAATCTGATGCACCCCCCGCACATCCTAACCCCTCTCAGCAAGCCACATATGGAGGTTGTTTTTAAGAGATTGTTAATCAGAGGAAAAGCCAATGCCAGCTCCCCTTCAAGGAAGACATGAGGAATATCCCCTGGAGAGAAAGCAAAGGTAGGGAGAGTGTAGGGACAGGACTTTTCTTGACCCAGTGGGCTTGAGCTAAAAGTCAGAAAATGTACTTCACAAATTTATTCGGCTCATAATTGAAACAGGTGACATTCTGCTACTGATAAATATTGCAGCAAATGTTATATGTTTGTGCATGTCAAGATGTCATGTTGCATTATTTATTAAATAAATAACCCAGTTATTTATTTAAGTAATAACAACAATATAAGTAACTTCCCCACTCTAGCACAATGAAATGCCACCTTGTTTAGTATTGAATACTATGTTTCTAAGCAAAATACTTGGAAGTAACCATTTGATGAAATGTTTAAAAATCATAGCAAAGTTGTTTAGAAATGATGTGCCAATTTAAATATTTTATCTAAGCATGGAAGAAACAGACTCTCACCTTCTTTGGCAGAAAGCAAATGGCAACTTAAGCTCTATAGATAAATCTAGGTAGCATTTGGGTAGGAGACATTTCAAGAATAAACAGGTATGGAAAGCATACTATCAACTGACAGTACAATGTGCTCTCTAAAATGTTATTTTGAACTTTTATGTATCTTGTGGTACCTTGGGATAGGATGGTACATCCCTTCGAGGCATCAGTTTCTTGTTTTCATCCAGAAAGCTGTATTTACACGGGCAGTTGGTCCTGTGTGCAAAACAAAATTTAGCCCTCAGCATTTATACAAAACTTAGTATTTTTGCAAAAACAGGTTCACTTGATAGTTATCCTGAAGGTAATTGATTTTCAAGACCAGAAAAGCTATTTTCACTCAGGGAACTGCACAGCAGAACAAGACATGTCTGCAGCTGTGCAGAACTATTAAGTTGGGAGCAAAGGGACCCCACTTAAAGAATGCAGGTTGTGCTCAGTGTCAGCCTCTGCCAAAGTCAGGTCCCTAAATGTCACCATGAATCTGCAGGGTCTGTGTGTGTGCAAGAGAGAGATGATATTTGAAGGATATTTGCATATTGGCAAAAAAGGAACTATAGCTCTTGCAGATGTGTTTATTGGATATTTTAATACATTAGTATACTTTTCTATGTTGTAGAGGAAACATGATTAACCCAGACCAAATGAGCAAAGATCCAGTTTTCAAAGAAACAAAGAAACTTAATACAGTGGTACTTTGGCTCATGAATGCATCAGAGGCGCGCTGCTGCAGGAAAGACGAGAGCAGCCAAGCAGAGCCATGGGGGAGGTGGCTGAGATTCCGCCTGTCTTTCCTGCAGGAGCGCGCCTCTGATCAGGCAGGCCTTCCGTGCACGAAGGGAACTGTGATCTCGGCCATCTCCCCACCCCCAGCGCACCGTTTGCCCCCAGCTCTCCCTTCCCCAGTGTGCCCGTGATCACACCTGTCTCTCCCCCCGCCTCCCCCCCCCAGCGTGTCGGGATGACGGGCGCCTGCAGGGATGACAGGCGTGATATCGGTTGTGCTGGAGGGGGGGAATGGCCGTGCTTGTGCTTGGGGTGGTGGGGGAGATGGCCGCCATCTTTGTTGTTGTGACTTTGCTTCACATTTTTCTGATTTAAAGAATGGTTACAGAATGGATTAACCTTATTTACGTTGAACCTTATGGGGAAATTTGATTCGGCTCATGACCAATTTGGGTCACGACCAAAGTCCTGGAATGGATTAAGTTCATGAGCCAAAGTAACACTGTATTATTATAATGATGTTTATTTACACTTAAGCACGTTGAGCTACAAATCCAAACATAGTTAGCTGTAATTTCCAGTGAGTTCAATGGGACTTACTCACTAGCGTGTAGTGAGCTTTTCTACATGAAGTATTTATTATGTACTTGTTGTTCTTCACTCACAATATTTTAGATATGTTGTGACCCTCCAGTTTTGCTTTGCTTTTAAACTGCACTTTCTCAGGACAGAGCGAGGGGTGGGGGCTAGAGTAGGAAATGCAGTATTCTTTTTGAAAGTGAAACAAAAGGTATATCCCCTCCCCACCACTAGGGTAATAATGTCATTTCACTATACCATAGCGCCACCTAGAGGTTATGTGGTGAAAAGGCAGGAAAGAAAAAGCTTTTTGTGTAGACCTCAAGAGCTCAATTCTGCAATGCAACCGAAAACAGATACAGCCAATAAACAGCCTTGTGTAGAAAACCTCTAGGACTGCAGTGTTAAAGCACTTGATTTGTGTCATTTTTACACTAAGTATATGATATGTAACACATAAATGTGAGCTCAACGCCAGTTTATACATCAGATTCTGTTTCATGTATTGTTTAGCACTGAAATAAGTCTGAAATACAAAGATGGAGAGACTACAGATATGTTTATTAAGGGAAATCTGTAACAGTCTGAAAGACTTGCAGAGCTCAAGAAGTGAGCATGCTCAGTCTCTTCCTTTGTAGTCAGTGCCCAGAACTTGCCTGCCTGTGCTGCGACTAGAAAGCACCCAAAGCACCTAGCCAATAGGGGCTAGGTGATGCCATACATGTGGCTGGGCTATAAGTGAACTCACCTGAAGAGAGGGAAAAGTGACTTCTTAACTCTCTATTTAAACATTTTTTCTGTATCAGGCACTGTGCACTTCGGGGGGAGGGGGTGGAGGAGGCTTCGTTATTCTTTGGTTTGGAACTTGATATATGTTGCATTTGGAGAGTGAGCTACTACAGCAGAGTTTGGTACATCAATATGCCTTAAGCCAGGGGTCAAAACAACACCACCAACAACAATGGAGAAGCTATTTTCAAGTGCATAAAAATGCTTTAATAAACCCACAGTGTTTAGAAAAGATATTTTCTTTTCAGGGGTCTTGAGCCCCCAATGCACAATCTTTACAAGACAAGGTTTTTGACCATGTACTTGCAAGGCAATGCCCTGATAGGAAGAAACAACCCATGTTAGAAAACTGTGACTTTGCAGAAACAGGAAGTCATGGGATAACACTGGCTTATGATGGGCAAAGATAGAAGATTTATCATACTAATGAATTACAATAATTTATCATCAGTTGTTTCTTTTCCTTGGAAAACATGAATCTATCCTTTCCTTCTTTATCTCTTTCGTGTCCACCTTGCAAAATGTCCTGCTTTTTTGAGTGCACAAATGAGCAAAAGTGAACATGTTATAGTGTTATGAAGGCCAAGACTGGAAGAGCCCAGTTAGTTTCCATGATTTATGATTTACAAACACTGTCCATTGAGCAAGGGAACCTCTTTATCACTGTGATATAAAGTTTTCCACTTTAAATCTACATCGTTGGGATCCCTCATTTGCCCCTTTGCTTACCACTTAAACATGAACGCATGACATGAGGTAAGGAGCCTTCAATTTGCTTTTGCACTTGGTCAGAATGACCACTTCCTCATCAAGCAAGACTGTGTCTTCTTTGACACTCCAGCTATTTTGCAACACATTTTTTCAGTTCTGCATTTTGCAGTATAAATGTTGCTAGACAATTACAAAAGGCACAGCTTTCCCAGTCGCAGCACTTCCATGCTGAAAACGGTAGCAACTCAAATTCCTTCCTGAAGTGGAAGGCAAAGGAGGCCTGTTGCTTAATCTTGTGACCTCATGACCTGTCTACCTCTTGGCGCAAGTGTTTACCTAGCAGTTAAATGATCGGGCTGCTTTTGCGTTGTTAAGGCTGGCATGTGCCAGTACTGCAAACTGCTTAGCCATGTTAGCTGGGGTACACAACGTGTCTTGTTATTTTACACAGTAAGCTCAGTGGAGGCCTTTCTTCATGGCCACATGCACATGGAGCACGCCCTATCTTTTCCAATTTACATAAGAGGATAAATGAATGATTCCCAGCAAATGACTGGAGATGGTAGAATATTACGCAAGCTTCAGAAACGACTTTTTTTTTAAACTGTGCTCTTTGCCCAAACTAATAACCATGTCACTGAGAATACAGTGAATGTTTTACAGTGATCTTTGTTAAATGAAAAGAAGAAATTGAATGTGTTGTGGTATAAAGGTTGCAGTGAAGACCCTTTTGAGGGATATAATTTGCAGCAGTTTCCCAGGAAACCAAAAAAAAAGCAAATTCACAATCACAAAATAAGGAAAAATATATGTAATTCTGTCCTAACAGTGTCACACGTGTGCCCAGGGGACTACATGCTCATAGGCATTCTCAGATACCCCTCAGTGTGGGAGATAACTGTGTACTGATATATCAGTAGACCAGGACTTCAGGAGATTTTGTTCTACACATTACAGAATGAAGCTTGAAATCTGGGTTGCAAAAGTTGGAACTGTTTTTTGTTGCTGTTACTGGTCTTTAAAGGATAGTGCAAAATGTAAAGTGACCCACCAGATATATAGATTTCCATACTAATTTTTAAAAGAGGACACGAAAGTGTTCTAAGATAGATCTTTGCACTTGGGCTTATTCATCCTCTAAATGGTAATAACAGTACTGCAAGGTAGTTGGTGAATTGTGTATTGAACAAGCAGGCTCTGAACCAAAATGAAACTCCATTTAGTATCTTGACAGGTAATAATTAGGGGTGAAGGAACATCATTTGTAGCATGTGCAGCTTTGGAAATAAAGGCTTCTTCTAGCTACTTAGAACAACCAGCTAGACTAAATTTGAACTGCTGGATGAAATACCAACTCTGTGGCCTCTGGTTCAATGCTTTGTGTAAAGGGAGGAGTGGAATGAACTAGTTTTGTCTCCCCTAAGTACAGAGAAGGAGCTCGATTCAAGTGTGACATCCCAGTGCTGGGCAGTGCTAAAGGCAAAAGAGGTGGAACTAAAAACACACCAAATGAACAGATGCCTCCATATTGTCACTTAAATATCTTACTACCAGTATATCTTTATGAAAGGCCTTTCAACCTTTTAGAATTGCGGGGAAAATGCACATGTGCTGGAAACAATCAAGCAAGCAGCAGTTGGGGGAAGCAAACCAGATGTGTGGAAAATATTGGAGGACTGTACTGGAAGCCCAAGAGGGACAGATCAGGTCCCTCTGCCTGATGCTTCTTGCACCCCACCTTGCCCTTTAGCACAGCCTGTCTCCTTGCCAATGGTCCCTGCTAATGCTTAGTCTCGGATCTCTTTTTCCATCCCTGCCTTATCCCTCGTATATAGAGTTGAAAGTGTGGGTCCATAGAGTAGCACTCTGCTTTAAGGAGGGCTCCAAACATTGAGGGTCCCTTTGAAAAGTTGTCTGCAGGGCAGCTTCCCATCACTGATGCCAATCCTTCTCTGCTCCCTTTGGGCCCAATCTGCACAGTCACTCAGAGGAGAAGCCATTGCTGCTTCTCAGTGCCCCCTTACACACAGAAGGCAGGGGAATAGGCAGGGCAGCAGACAAAGAGGGCAGGTACAGGGCCAGGGGTTCCAGGGTTTGGCAACATGCCCTCTGCTGAGCTGAGCAAATGCCCAATGATGAGGATCCCTGGACTAGCTTGGCTCTTGCCTCACTTCATTGCATCTGGCAATGGAATCAATGACCAAGGAATGTGATGGACTTCCCCATATTAGAGGCATTCAAGATGCAGCTGGACAGCCATTGAGAGGGCTGGTTTACAAAAGCTGACGGGTATGTGGATTTTCTACTACCTTTAGCATTATTTTCTACAACTGGTGACCTGCAAATTTGTACTTGACCAGTACAAATGCACCCTGGGCTCTTTCGCCATGCCTTGGGTCCCAAGACTGCAATGCCAAGGATTCCATGACAGTTCAGCCAGTGCAAGGCATGCCTTTGCTCTGAGAGTTCTTTCTCTGTAAAGCTTCTGAACTATGTTCTACCCTCCGCTTTTAATAACAGCTTTAAACATGTCTTAGCTGCTGACATGCAGGTCCTAATGAGCAATGCCAGCGACAGGGGAAGTCTGACGCCCCAGCTGATGCTGCCTACCATAACGAGCAGGAATCTGCTGCTGTTTTAATTACAACTCCAAACTTGGTAATATGTCAGATTAGTAGACTGGCTTCTGCTGAAAAGGAAATGCCTCGTTTCTGGGTTAAAATATAACATGCACATTCTCTCATAGTATAAGGTCATAACAAAAGGAGTTGCTGTGTGTATACTGTGATATTTTCTCAGATTATGTTTCATATCTGAGCAGGTCCATTTAAAATAAGTGAGTCTCTTAGCAAATGAATGTTTTTCTTGGCAGAAGAATTTTTTGTTCTATGCATAAAACTAGGGCCAGAATTCTTTATTACCGGATGGGTAAACATAAGGAAACCAAGATGTTAATCTCTCTGAAAGTTATTTTTCCAGTCATCTGGAATGAACTTCTTTAACTATTAAGTTGCCACATGATCTTAAACAAAACAAACATCTCCTCTCTTGATAGTAATACTGGTAAATTATAGATCGGTGATGAGAAATCTGTAGGTGCTCAGACATTGCTGGACTGTGACTCTCTCCATCCCTCACTGTTGGATATGCTGGCTGGGGCTGAAGGGAGTTGTAATCCAAGAATACCCGAAGGGTCTTTTGTCCCCCACTTCTGGTATAAAAGCCTTTCATTTAGAAAACAGATGGCCAGCAACCACAAATTCATATGCTTGTTAGGCTGCAACCTTATGTGTACTTACCTGGGAGTAAACCCCACTGAATCCCATGGGTTTTGTTTCTAAGCAAGCATTCTAAGGTTCACATCATAAGAGCATTTTAAAATGAAAAACAGCTCCAGGAGATCACTTTTCTCAGTGTCCAGAACAAGAAAAGCAGAACTTACCTGGAGCTTCTGGCTGACATTTCATCCCTCATCTTTTTAATGTCACTTTTACACTTTTCAATCTCCACTACTTTCAGTCCTTCCACTGTCAACAAAGTGAAACAACAGGGGGGTTACCATGGCAAAGCCTGAAGGATCTCATTTCAGTAATTGTGCAGAATTTCAAAAGGCCTGGAACAGTGGAGTTTGCATTGCCGGTGACTCAACGGTCCTTTTCTCCGAAACCTGTTCCTTTGTAGGCAGGTGCTGCCAACATCATAAATCGTTAAAAGCAACAGGAATTTAGGAGATCACAAAAGCAATTGCAACAATACCTATTGCGTGCAGAGTGCCGTATCTAGCAGTTCTGCTGCTTTTTGGAGGCCCTCTCTTAGAATGTGAACAGATGAAAGCACCAGACAAAGCCGCTGCAATGATATGTTAATCTGAAGCACTGTATATTGTATATTAACAGATGTGTTTCGCTGCACTTAAAACACCCCATTAAATGAATAGGGGACATGAAAGTTCCTCAGTATGGAAGAGAAAGTTGCGGGAATCCTATGCTTGATACAAAGAAACCCCAAACTGGAAAGCAATTTCAGTTCTTGTCAATTACTTCAAAAAAAATGAGGTGATTCTTTAAATATCAAATCAAAAGCTAGCTTTGAAAACAACACAGCAAATCCTGCTCTCTTTGCAACACAGCCGAAAGTTTGGTTTGCTTTGTGCGTAGGTTGTGCGAAAGGGAAAGGATTTTGCAAACTCCAAGGGGCTTCATACATGCTTCAAACGCATAAGTGGCTCCTCACCTTTCTCTCCTGTTTGAATGCTGAAGGTTCAATGCCATTTTAAAAATGTACATATCCTTCTCAGTAGGATTACTTTATGGCCCACTTGTTCACTGGGCTCACTGCTTGTGCATCCAAGCTGATGCTCAGGAAACTCAAGGGAACTTATAATTGTTTAACTGGAGTTCATTTGCTCACAATGTCATAGACAATCCTCCTCCCATGTGGCCTGGCAGGAAAGTCAAGCAGATCTGCTCCAGAAGTGGCATTAACAATTCATATGAGGAGGAAAAGAAGAGCTGCAGCTGCAGTCACTGCACTGAAGTGGGTGGGTGAAGAAAGGAAAGGAAAAGCAGAGGAGTGTAGAAATGAAAGCTCATGATTCATGGCACACATCTGATTAAAAGACAGAATGATGTGCAGTTGGCTTCGCCATCCACATCTCAATTTCCATTTTTCATAAAACTTCCTTCAGGAGTCATCATCCCTTTAATGAAGTAGGTGTTCCTCTCATGCTGTCAACCTCCCCCTCACCCCGCCCTGCATGCCTATGCGCACACACCCACACTGGAAGAGTGATAAAGAGGAAAGGTTTCTGGATAATTTTCAGTGACAGTGTGTTCTGGACTCTCCCTCTTCCTGTGTAGCAGCAGATGATGCCACGAAAAAGCACTGGGCTCCCACTTCCACAACACTGAAATGAAAAGTAATTATGCACCAAGTCCTTTTTGGTACATCCTGTGTCTATTATGCCAAGGCTGATGTACATCTAACAGTCCCACATCCAAACCTGCCGGAAATATTTCTGCGTTGGCCGCATCATGTCTGCAAGCAGCTTAGCAACAGATCCCCAGCACGGCTGGGGCGGTATTCACAGTAGCACCCCCACACCCGACTGGAACCAGCAAGCAGACCCCTTCACCAACTGGATGTTGAGTGACGTGTGCCTGTATCTGAGTGACTTTCAATGTCACAGAGTGCACATGACGTGGCTGCCTCCTCTGCCTGCCGTATGTGCATCATATACCAGGGAGCGAGAATATTGGCCATGGCTCCCCGTAGGGTGTACACACAATGAACATGCATACTGGGAAAATGCATAGAAACAACCCTTGATTACCATCCTCGGTCTCTATCTATTGGGGTAATGCTTGGATCATTGGTTAATGCCTGTTTCAGCTTTATTAAAATGGGTATACTTGGTTGCTTATGACTTCACCATGATATTGTGCAAAAAAGACACCAAACAACCAAAATTATGTAATAGTAATAATTTTTTAGTAATTTTAGAGGGTAAATTTTCAACCTTTTGGGTTCACACATATTTGTAGAATTCAATAGATTATTACAAGCTAGAAAAGTCACTTTAATGCCAAAACTAGCTGACATTTACCATGCTTAATTCCATTTATTTTAAATTTATTTTAATTCTACTCCTCTGCTGTAAGGGATATTTGTGAAATGTCACTGGACTTGCCTTTTATCAAGACCAACACTCTATCAGACACTTTAAAATATTGGATGTGATAAAACACTAAATACTTACAAGGTGGCAGATCCTTATTATATGCACACATTTATGTTTGTACACAAACATGGTGAAACTGTTATCCATGCTTCTACATTCCTACTACATGACTAAAACAAAACAGTTGGATACAGTTAATTTTCTCCCTATAACTCCTAAAAGCACCATTTCCAAATGGCTATCTATGCTATTCCAGAAGAAAGCAACGTATTTCTGAAATAGTTCCTAGATTTTCTGTGTGGATGTAATTCAGTGACAATATGTGACTCACATCTATAATTTTCATACTTGATTCTGGTTTGAGTCTTCACATGATATGGGAATATTTTTTAAAAAGTTCATGGCTACATTCCTCTTCTCCCTGGGAGTTTTGGATACTGCAGCACTTCCTGCTCGCAGGAGGAGGAGCAGATCAGCCACAGGAGCCACATCCTGGCAGAAGCCTTTGCTGCCATTACTCTGCAGAACTCTGAGAGCAGGAGGAGAGACAGGCAGGGCATGGAAGGAGATCCACATGTTGCAAAGCCTTTTCGTTTCCCCAGAACCTTCCTGAGAAGGGTGAAAATGCACACCAGCCCTGGAATGGGCATGCTTCTTTCCTCCTCCGTTAGTGTTAATGGAAGGGAAAATCATAATATCTCAGAAGGGGGTAAAGCCAGCCCCCCACGCCTGCCCTGGCCAGGGGCAGGGCTAGGACATGGTAGCTCCTCCCCCACACATTTTCCTTCTGCTCCATATATTATGTCCTGCCACCATGACAAGCTCAGCTCATGACAAGCTTTTTACTTGCATTCTACATTTGGGCAAGCGATGAAGAGCAGGGACATCCATGCAGTGTTTTAATTCCCGATAAGGAAACAGGGAATGGAGGGGTCTTAGCAGAATCCTATGAATACAGGAAGAGTTTTCTCCAAGTTTATTATCCAAGTGAGACAGAGATGCCCTTTGTTCTGCTAGGTCATGCCCAGTCATATACCGTGCGTTTGTGTACAGTACTCCCTGTGCGTGAGCAAACTTGTGTAAACAGCTCCCTCCACAATTTTCGCAACTTGCACCACATCAACCCACACTACCAGAGAGAGGGGCGGGGGTGAAAATGGCCAAATCTGTATGGGCAGCCAGTTCACACGCAAAAATGCCTTTATGCAGTATTGTCTGTTCACAGCGTTTGTATGCTCCCCCATAACAAAGTTCTCTGGTTGGTTTACAGTAAACCACCATAAAGACAATTGAAATACAAAGTGGAGCGTAAAACCATAGTATCCAAAGCCACATAAAACAGGACGAGAAAACTCAAGACAGCTCATGATAAAATGCACCGTTTTTCAGTCTGAGTGACCCAAATGATACAAAGTATTTAAGAGGCTTGAATGGACAGAGAGGGCTTCTCATGAGGCTGAAAAGACCAGAGAGAGAGAACCAGGGGAAACTGTGCAAAATGTTTCATAATGGAGGGGTCACTACCAAAAAGGCCCTCTCCCTGGCAGGCACCTGCCCAAGGTAGCCAGGTGCCCTATTCTAGGGAGGGCAGTTCTACATTTGAATTCCTGCCAGAGGGCTGTCCTCTCTTTGAAGGCCTCCTCTGAAAGGCTGTTCTGTCCAGTTCTGATTTAAATAAAGGGAACCCTATGAACTGATGCTCCTCAGTAGAGTGAGCAGGTATGCACACAGCTCACCTCATCATAGTCTTCCTCCGTATAGTGAAATCTACTATGCTTCCATTTAAGTAAAAATAATTATTTGAAGTTTTCATTTATACATATAAATCAACACATGCATGCTATGCAAATTATGGCCCTCTGTTTTGGTGCTGCATTTCCTCCTTTTGCGATATTCACAAGCGGCCACTCCACTTTATTCAGCAACTGGAATGATGCCCCTGAAGAAGTTCTTGCTTTACTTTCCTGTCAAGATCCTGCTAAAGTTCTCCTGTGGGTGACTCTGCATGTGAGTCCAAGTGCTACCCACTGTGGGCGGGCTCGGGACACATCCACTACTGCCTTGCGGCCCTGACTTGCTGCCACATGCAGCCCTCGGGGCAAAATGGTGGGTCACCCCTAATTGATGCGGTCCAGCGTTCTAACCGCATAGCTGCAGAACATCGTCATTTTGACTAGCTCCCTTCCCATGCCCTTACTGCCCATCCTTGCATGCTGAGGCTGCTAGGCTACCAGGATGTGATTCTAACAGAGGAAGAGCTGTGTTGGATCAGACATGTCCCTGTGGGCATCTTGTTTATACTACTGGCCAGCCAATTGCTTGTGGGAAAGCCCATAAGAAGCAAGTGAAAGCAGGGCAGCCTTCTCCTGTTGTTCCTCCCAAGGGGCAAGGTACTCAACTTGCTTCTTTCCTTCTTTCTTTCTCCCAGTTTTTGAGGACCCTTGGGCAAAGTACCCTGAATCCTTCCCACCACCATACTCACCAGCTGCAATCCCCCCCCCCCCCCACGCTTTCTCCCTTTCACTTGCTTGACAGACAGAGAGCTAGTGAGCACCTCATTGGCTGCGCTGAAGTGAGAGGCATGTGATGCAGTGGTGAAAAGAAGGCAGGATGCCAGGGGCTTTCGTCAGGGTGCCCCTATCAGAAGGGACGCAATCAGGCCTATTTGATGCTGCAGCAAATGGGAGGCAGAAGGTGAATGGGGCCTACATCTGGGAGGAAGCATGAGTGAGGACGGCAGCCCTCTGTGAAGATGGACATCAAGCTGATCTGGGGACCAGACAGTACAATCCCATGAATGCCTACTCAGAAATAAGTGCAATGGACGTTGCTGGGATTTCCTCTAAAGTAAATAGATACAGGAGTTCAACTAGGAACCTTTCTAGTTTAACGGGCTGCATTTGTTTATGAACTGGGTTCAAATAGAGGTGATTCTGTATGTCATCATTTTGGGTATTATTCTAACCAAGTAATGTAAGATACAAAGCCAGATTTTTTACTTTCAGAAGTGAAGGGTATGTTTTATAGGTATTTTCTTCTCCTTTTCTGATACAGTTTTGCACCTCAAAAAGATAAAGGTAGAATAAATGTCCATCAACATATATAACTCAAAGTGATAATAAAATGACACTCACATTCAACTCTTTTCTCCAGCATTGCCAAGTGATTAGCTACTTCTGTTTTCAGTTCATCGATTTTAAAGACCCTGGGGGGGGGGGGAACAAAAGCCTTCAATAAGAATGCATATCGTTATTTTTATAGGTGCACATTTAAATTTCATAGATAAGCTAATCTTGGCATGCATTTTAATCTACATCTGGGAGGGGATTCAAGGCAGATAAAAGAAAGTCTTCTTTCACATGTCATGTAGCTAAACTATGGAATTCACTTGCACAAGATGTACTGATGGGCACCAGGTTGGATGGCTTACAAGGGGATTGGACACATTCCTGGAGGAGAAAGCTATACATGCTTATTATTCCTCCATTGCTGCCTTTTGCCTATGCACATCAGTTGCTTGTTGGCCACTGCGTGAATATAATGCTGGACTAGATGGTCTGATCCAGGATGGCTCTTCTGATGCTTTTAAATAGTGATCTTGTTGGAAATGAAAGGAGCAGTCATTCTTGGCGCATGTTCCAAGGTCAGGCAGATATGGACTCGTCAGATGAGGAGGGCCCCTGGGAACCAGAATTCTTAGGTGCTGAAATGGAAGAAGCAGAGGGGCTTATCTCAAGGACACCTTCCCCAGGTGTTCAGGTGAACTTTGAGAACTGTCAGGATTTACAACTGCAGGGAGGGTGTGTGGGGGGACTCCTGTAGCCAGCTGAGTCTGGCGTGACCCTTGACCCTTGATGCAAGAGCAGGAGAGAGGCTGACCAGCTAGAGGGGCAATGGACACAGAAGAGACTTGCCCGATTCCATAAAGGACATCCCAGAGGGGAACACAAAAGGAGAATGCTCAGAAGTAGTTGCTAAGGGTTCAACAAACCACTCTGTGCATGCTCAGAGACTTGCTTTTTTTGGTTGTGCTTACTGGAAGTGCGTTGGAGAATAAAGAGCTTTGGCCAAAGAGCAGTCTGTGTTTTGGAAGTGCAAAGGCAGCAGGAGAACCTGGCTTACAACAGTTCCCTCCCTTAACATAATCATCTAGTCTTGATTCTGGCTAAATTGATTCTGGTTTTCCTTTGCAAGTGTGGAGGTAACTTACAAAGATGCTAAGGAATTGAACTGCCTTATTGGAAAGTAGATATTCTGCATCTCTTTTACCAAATGTAGATTTTATCAGCATAGATGAATTATTTCTTTCCAGTTGCAACATGAACAAACAAGTGCAGTGTAATTGGGTAGGTTGTGGGGGTGGGGGGGGGGGTGGCAGGGGGAGTTACTTGACAGCAAATCTGCCAGGACTTTCATCCAAGCAAGCGAGCATGTACAAGAGTGCAGTCTTAAGTGAATTTGTCTTTCTCTTTGTAACTATCTGCATACACTTGTAAATGACTCAGGCATTTCAGCTTGGATATGCAGAAGAGTGGAACCAAAATGGATGGACTTATTTCAGAGCAGGCTGTTGAAGAATGTCCTGAAATGTCCTGATGTACTATCTGAGAAGAAATGGCGTCATCGCTTAACTATAATATGATGCTGTTACCTTGAGAATTGCTCAGACACCTGCACCAGTAAATTCTGGAACAATTCTTCTTTCTCTGTTTTAAAAAACCACAAATAAAATAATGAGAAATAATGGAGGACTCCAATGCTGATTAGAACAACTCCCATATTAACAATTGCAGTCTGTATAAAGATAAACTTGGCCAAGAAAATGAGCTTGGGCCATCCTCATCCAATCAAAGAACTGCTTCTGTGGAGCAGATTAGAAGGTCTATTAATTCACTGTTAATTAAGTCACATTTTTTCTTAAATGAAGTGTTGTGCAATGCTATAAAAAGGACACACACACAAAAGTTCTGAAGCATGAAGACTGATAACCTATATAATGGTATTGTCAGTAGTGTAATTCTGCAATCTTACTTTTAGTCACACAATAATCACCTTAGTGGTGAAGCGTTTAGTTAATGCATAAGGTATTCTTGGAAAAGAACTAAACTGATCTTTCTTCTCCAGAAGAAGCAATTACTTTGAAGCACCCAGTGGTGCAGTTAGGTTATTTTGGACTCTGAACTTAAATGTTCTTACCCAGGGCTGGGGGAGGGGGCTCTTTAGCTCATAATGTGACTTCACAGACTTCAAAGTGTGTAAGCAGCCCTTCTGCACTTAGGCCCTCTTGCTTATTCTGCTCAGTACTACCCTGGTCATCTGCCCCAAAGTCTGGTCCTGATGGCTCCACATAACCTTCATTATGCCAGACTTCCTGCTGTCCTGGATTTGCCATGTTTTCATCAAGTATTCAAATCAGTGACAAGCACACATACTCTCTCATTCTCTCTCTCGATAGATAGATCAATCTTACAGGTAAAAGAGGAAGTACTGCAGTCACATGCTCCAGGGGAGTTTTGGAAAGTAATTTTCAGCATACAATGTGGGAGCAGCTATTTTACTGCTACTTTTCAGAACAGTTTCATAACACACTTTCAAGCTTTGTATTTCATAGTCTGTGAAAAGCACTGGCTGATATGAAGTCACCTATTCATCAATAGCTAGATGTTATTAGGGTCCCCCCACTTTAAGTATGAAAGGAAGTGTGGAAGAGAGAAAGAACATTTTTAAAATGCCAAGGACTGAATGCGTAAGCATCTTTCACATAAAAGATGTTTGGTACTAGCCAGAGTGAGGACAAAAAAGTGGCCAAGCCAATCAACTCTTTTTCTAGATAAGAAGCTGGATTAGAGGATTAAAGGGAAATGACTAACATGTAATGTGCTTAGGGGTCAGTCAATAGTATATTTGATTGGGACATGGGTACAAATGATCCCATAGTGCTGTCAATGACCTTTTATATCTCTTTCTTTGATGTCATTTCCTCCCTCAAGATATGTGGCATTTTTTGATATTTTTGCAGTTTTTACCAGTTAGTGTGGCGAAGAGGATGGAGAGGAAGGCAAACCTGAGGGCTGAAAGAGGTGTGGGACTCCTGGAGTAACCCAGCAGTGCCTGGGTGGAGAGGAGCCTGCGCAGACAAACTGCTATGGATTCCCATATTTCTATACCTCCAAGCTCTTGTGTGATTTCATCATCAAAATTTGCTTCTGTCTGTGCAGGATGAATATGGAAACAACACTGTTGCTTTCTCATCAGCACTGGGCGGACTTGGCTTTAGCTGCAGGCAGAGCTTGTCAGCACTGGGCCAGGGTGTTTGGGAAATGGTGCCCTGCTGAAGGAGGTGTCAGTTTAGCTGGCACCACAGCCTGGGCTCATGAACAGTTTGCAGGAATTGGGTCTCTCATGACAGATGTGGAATCGGCACAAGGGTAAGGCGAAGCTGGTCTGGAGGCGACAAAGACACCTCTGAGTGACCTTGTTCAGCCTTGTTTGGCTTTGATAGCCTTACCAAAGGGCTGGCTGAAAGCACCTTGGTGGTGCTGTCTCCCCATCTGCCACTAGCACAACACTTGAGAAAAATTTAAACCCCAGCCATCCACCAGTCCCTGCTTTCACGTATCTTCTCCTCCTGACACTACCTGAAGCAGGTTGCACCAACCTGCTGCCTGGCCAGCCCTGTTGATCCTGTGTTCTCTGCAGGGATCTTAAGGAAGGAAGGAAGGAAAAAAAAGAATAGAGGAGCTACAGTCTCTTTTCAGACCTGCAGGAGCTATGTTGGCCATACTTAAGAATGATACTTCAATGGTAGCTCTATTTATCTCCATAATTACCCAATACAGTTTAAACTTCCTTATGTTCTTTATTCCCTGATCCACTGCACACAACTGGAGAAATTATCTCAACTGCTTTGAGGAGATTAAGAAACAAAGATTGGTTGCTGCTCAGATTCTTTCAGTGGTGGTGAGATTAGCAGTCTTGAAAGGCAGGCAGAGATATTTCTCCCCCTAAAAAAGGCTCCTGTATTGGCTGCAAGGGGAGTGGGCAGCCACAGAGTGGAAAACCGTCATTAAGCAAATGCAAAGATCATCAAAGCATGCAAGCTTCGGCGATCCCCAGAGTTCCTAGTCATGTCATGTTGTTACGGTTGTGGATGGTGTGGAGCAAGGAGAGGAAGGGGCAAAGACTGACCGTGTGGTGTAGCCAAGATGCCTGCATAGTCAGAGTCTTATGATGATATGGGGGAGAGAAAGGTTTGCAGACATTAAACTGGGCTCTGCTAGGTGATCTAGGAAGAAGACACTGCCAGAAAACATAGGAGCCAGCTGCTAATTAAACCTGCCACCGTGGGTTAACCAGACAGGTTCCTTGGTTGGGGAAAACAGATCTAGAAATCATCTAAATATTCTCTCCTGCTCCTGCCTCAGTAAATGTTGCCTGTACTTCATCAACTAACTCCATTCCTGCACTGTTAACTCATAAACTCCTTTGATATGAAGTGCTTTCATTTAGGTCTCAGAAAGCTTTTTCTTCCTCCATTTTAATTGGCACATTTGCAGAGTCAGCAAATGTTTATACTGCCGCACTGCATTTGTTTACATTAATCTTTGACTGCATGCCCCTGGGTAGGGGTTGTTCTTTTTAGATCATTCACTGTACAGCATTTAGCAATATCTTTTAGAAATAATAAATATGAATGACCACTTATTATAAGCGCCCCCTGGCCTTTCCTCACTTGCCTTGCTCAATGTCCCTCACAACCAACGTTGTAAATGTAAGCTCTCTGGGGTAGGGGCCTAAGGGGTTTTCTGTTTACTATATCCTATAATATGCACAATGATTATGTTATATAGATATTATTATTACAATATATTTATCTTCTGTCTTTATTCTTCTTCTTAGGAAAACAGGGTGGTTTGCATAGTCTTTTCCCTCTCTATTATATCCTTAAAACAACAGCCTTGTGAGGTAGGTTAGTCTAAGAGTCAGTGACTGCCCCAAAGGTCCCCAGTGAGCTTCATGGCCAAGTGGGAACCAGGACCTGGATCTCACCAGTCTCAGTCCGACTACTATACCACAGTAGCTCTCAGACCACATTGGCTAATAACTGTAATTACAAGAAAGAGTCTATATTCAGTGTAACTACATTGACTATACAAGGCAATAACTACTTTACGGGTTACAGGAAAGATGTCTAAAATTTCCTAGGGGTGTGGCCATTCCAGTGGAATTCATCTCTCATAAAACTAAACATTTGACCTATTTATTAGTACTGAGAACAGAAGGTTTCCATAATCCACAAACAGTCCTTTCTGGTTAGGAATGGGGGAAATGTGGTTGGTTCACATTTTAATGTAGGCTTATCTATTTTTTCCCTTTAAAACGATATACCAGCCTCAGTTATCTCCCAAAATTTGTACTTTCTGGAATTTTGCAACAAAGTTCTCAGATCAAAATAATTGTGTATTAGGGGAAAATGCAAGCAAAAATGTATTGGTTGGTGAAAACCATAATATTGAACATCTATGAGTTTAGGAAATTTGCTTGCAGTATTGTGTATATTTAGTAAAATTATCTGTAAAAAGGCATGTTTGGAAAGAAATGCATACAAAAATTTGCATGCCAACTTAAGAAATATAATTCTCAGATTTCAGAATGAACCTAAATTAAAACAGGAAAAGTTCCCAAAGCTGGGATGCACCAAATAAGACTGGAAAAATAAGAAACTAAGAGAGACCAAACTGACAGATTTGTTCACCCCAATTTCTTAACTAGCATTTTCATCATTTGCAGGAACCTCCCAGCCCAGTGCAACATTTTCCTTTCATAGGATGACTTTCAGAGTTATTCCCCTAAATGCAAACATGTGACCATATTGTCTCAGAACACTTTATCCAGGTGCACAGTTCAAAACAAATACTTTAGCCTGGATTTAGGATTTCTGTTAAAGCCACCTGAGATTTGGCCCTAGGACAGTTGTATTGATGAAGCGTTCTGATGCAGTGCTCACATGTGCATGCTTGTATTGAAATCAGTTCAAGTCATCCCTTGATGAGCATTGGGATCTGTATACCTAAGATTAGTTGGGATTACAATGAGGCTTGCATCCATTCCTGGGATGGAAGAAAGGTGTTTAAGGTTGTACTTCAGCAACATTAATAGTCTAGAAAATTGTTAAGTGCACGGGAGGTGCTGCACATCTGTCTTGTATTTTGTATCTGGATAAGATGCATCAGCAAGCACTTCAGAATCATTTGCCTACTTCAACAGTACAAGTGTTAACAAAGCAAGCACAGACAACTGATTTAATCAAATAAGAAATGTCTCCACGGAGTCAGGCCAAAGATGTATGTCATCTGTTTTCAGCACTGGGAAGCTCACAGATGCTCTGGAAAGCCACAAGTAGGGCAAGGTGGAAGCAATCATAACCCGCTGTTTTCCCCGGAAAAAGTCACCAGCCATCTATTGCTTCAACCACAAAACACAGTACAGTTTATTATGATTGTGTACCCTAGAAAATCTGACATACAATATAGACTTTATTTTAAATTATTTTTAAATATTAAGGGTAAGATTGTTCCAATGCAAGGGCAAAATCAAATGTGTGCATGAGTTAAGGAGCTTGATTTCAGCAAGCCAGGAATCACTGAAGTAGCAAATTTATGTCAGCTTCATCTTAAGAGACTTATGAATTAAAGCACACTTCAGT